AAGGGGATTTAGAGATTGTGATGAAAAACGCTTCAGGCTGTCAGCTTGAAATAAGGCCACAGCCTGTGAGATGAGAAAGAAAAAGAAAAATGACAACAGAAGAAATGGAATAATTGGAATGTCTTAAGGGAAAGTTAAAAAGACCCCAAAACTCAAACCCAGAACCCTCCAAATACTCGTTTTTATCTACTCAGCCCTATTTTGACCTTGACTGAAGCAATTTAATTCTTATTTAAATTAGAGACTGGGGAAGGAAAACAACCTATCAGGTCACACCTAATTAATTTTTTCACCCATGTATGGCTGATTTCCATACAAGAATCTTGAGTGGACTACATTGTCTTCAGATCTGATCCTGAAAATACTTACTCCGAGCATACTCCCTATGAAATCAAGCCGGATTACAACTGGTAACGAGCTCAACACCCAGCAACAGGGACCTCGTGGAAGAGTTCTCCAAGCTCAGTTCTATTCTGAAAAATAACCTGATAAAACCAGCAATGTTGTCATTTTGTCTTTGTTTCTGCAATGGCTCTAGATCCTGGTCTGCTCTGCTTACCAGTGCCTAAGAGGCAAGTCTACAAAGCTTTTGCTTGGATTTAAAATCTGGGTTAGACTCTGATGGCCTCTCACCTCCCTGATGATTAAACCCCCAACAGTTTCCCTCCTGCTTTACCACTGTCACAGATGCTGCATGCACTAGAAGACTATTTAGCTGCTGGCCCCTTGCCACAGCAGGGCTGAAGGTGAACTCTGCAGGGCAGAGTGAATAATCACGACTGCTCACTACCAGAACAGGAGCACTGCACGAGGAGGACCCTGCTGCCCTGCATCTTCCACAGGCTGCTCTCCACTGCAGCACGTAACACTGGACACCAGGCCACCGCTGCACTAGGCACGTTCATCATGAAGAAGGACTGAAGAGTTTGAGCTTTTGCTTCCAACGTGACCCAAGAGTGTGTTTGTTCAGAGTTATGAAGGGGGTTGATAAAGTGGATGAGGAAAAAATGGTCATAGCTCCTACGTTTTACCTGCAACGGGTGTCAACTGCTGATTGAGCATTCCCATTGGTGTTGGTGGCGGCACCACCCCCATAAGAGCCCCGACAGGAGTGCCTGCCCGGGGGGAGGAATTCTGCTGCTGTGCTGCTCGCTCTCTCTCCTGCTGCTCAGCAACTTTAGCTGCCCGCTCTGTAAAAGTATTTTAGATTTTCAGTTCTGTTTTGTAACCCAGACTTTCAAAATATTATCTGTTCATTAAAAGGACTAGTCAGACACTGGCATAGTTTAGTCAAATATAAAGTAGAACAGATGAATCTTTTTTATACAGCATATGATTTGATTTCATGTGGCTGCAGCTAAGACTTTTAGAGAACCTTTCATGAAAAATATTCCACAAAGTTTTCTCTTTCTAAAAAATATAAATAATTAAAATAAATAATAAAATAAAATTTTAAAAAAATTAAAAGAACAAATTTGATTGTAATAACACCAGTGTTACCAACATGAAGCAGCAGTCCAGCACTAGGCTCGGTCCGCACTAGGACATGGCAAAACATTCCCTGTTTTGACACCACTGGCTCAGCTAAACCAGCTGCAGCCAAGGCCAGCAGCTCTTGGGTGGATCCTCTACCAGCTGCTGTGGGAATTGAAGCCCCATGTCTGCCAGGTGTGCCCTAAAGAATGCTGCAAAGAGCAGACTGCAGTGCCAGCTGGTGGCACAGTCATTTCTGGGCTCCCCATATATTTTACTACTGATGCAGCTGAAAAGTGGTGGCAAAATAGGGGAGCAATTGTAAAGTTTCCCTAGTGTAGATTAGTCCTTAGCTTTTGGAACATAACAAGCAGCAGTTTGATAAACCAAAAATATTTTTCTCTGCCTCCTTCTGTCATTTCCCCGTTTGGTCCCCTAGGAGTTATTTTTGTTTCTGAAGATGTCTAACTCACATTGTGCTGCTCACTGGAGATCATGTGTGTCCTTTGTACGATGGATCTGGTCATTATCTCAATCAAGTCTCTCACTGTGACTGCAAGAACAAAAGATCTACTGCAGGGTAATCTGACCAGAGGACAATTTTATATTAAGGGAAGGGCAAAGGGTCATGGGAAGAAGAAAGAAAAAAAAAACAAAACCCAAGCAAAAAAAAAAAGGAGAAGTACTGAATGCCCACTCCAGGTGCTTCAGGGGCATGCAAGTTCCTGCTTTGGAACTTGCTCTGGATGCTGTATCTGACTGGCACAATGAGGAACAAGGAAGAATAAATGGATGCAAGATACATCTCCAGCAATTTTTAACAACAGTGAATGCAGGGCTGTGAGTTCTCTCTTGCAGCTGCTGAAAGATGGAAACTGACACTAAACCAGCAAACAAGGTCCTCTGTCAAACGGAGGCTAAGAAGAAGTTCATCAAGGAGATTAAGTTATCCATCCTGCCAGTGTTACTCGCTTCCCCTAGGACATGACTTTGAACATCCATCACATTTTTGCCTCCTCTAGAACCTGTTTGTGCAGCTTCTAGCACTACTTCCATACACTCAAAGACCAGTTTCCTTTCCAAAGGCATTTCTTTCCTTCTTCCCACTTCTGCAATTTCAGGCAGTGATGACGACGCAGAGAAACTCCTACATTTAAACAGGCAACTCAGATGCAGTTGAGCACAAAATACGTAAGATATTTAAAGGCAGATCCTGAAGAAGAAAAATGACAAAATCCTCTCCAGAGCACAGCAAGCACTTAGTGAAAAGACAAAGCAGTTGTTCTGACTCTCACCTACTTTTGGCCAGCTAAAAAACAAAAAATGGTCAGACAAAGCAAAAGAGACACTCTGATGAATGAGAAATTACTGCTAAGTGTTTAGCTTTATTAGACTTCAGAGTGCTGAGGTTTGAAGAAGAACCTGGTGTAGGACAGTTCTCAAGTTTTACCTAGGCCCTTTCCATGCTCTGATTGTCACAGAAGTAGCAAATGGAATAACACTGCCAAAGGAACTGGAGGAGATAGCTGAAAGCTCAGCCTAAAGCATTCACCCTAATACTCAATAATAACCCCAAATCACATAGGCCAGGACTTGAGATCATTCAAACATTTCCAACACATCTCAAGAGACAGGGAAAAGACCTTCTGCTTGGAACAGAGTTTTTCCTTACAACAGGCCTTTGCTTCAATCCTTTTTATTTTACTTTATTTAGCCATGCAGGCACTTCCAACACAGCCTCTTCTCTACTCAACTACTGCTAAAATAAACAACTAATACCCTGCATGCAAACCAAACAAAATTTTCAGTGGGTCAAAATGGATCTAAAATGTAAACTACTTCTCACCAGAAAATGGCAGCGCTGGGATGCCATTTTTTTTTTCACTGAGATGTCAAACCATGCCCACTCCCTGCTCCCTGCTTCACATCCACACCAGGGAACACATGAATTCTGACTCTTCACAGTGGAAGGAGTGGAGTTTCTCCTCTTTCACACATGGTAAGCAAACATAGTTTGGACACTTTGTTACCCCATCCCAACCCCTCAAAACCAAGTAAAAGTAAGTCTAGTTCAGGGCAGACACCAAGGCAGGGAAACTGCAGCTCAAACCCCAAAGATGTGGAAAATTTTAATTGAGAAGGAAGATTAAAATGGAAGCACACAGACAATCATTAACACAGTGGACAAACAGAGCCTTCCTGCAGGAGTGCAGGACTTAAAGCTGTTCTAAGCAAGGAAGCAATGACATGCCAGCCATCCTCTGCTGAAGGCTGAGGCTGTAAGGAGGCATCTGCCAATAAAAAGATCACACATGCACCTAGAAGGGTGTAAAAGGAAACAACTACAGAGCAAAGTAAGGCCCCAGCAGTCTCACAAAGAAAGAGCATTATCGTTTCCCTTCTCAACATTTGCAAAGCAAACTTGCACAGAGCAAAGGGTGCTGTGCTACCCTCCAGAGCTGCAAAGAGCTGCTACTGAAAGTTCAGAAAGGACTGAGGTGAATGAGAGTGGACAGTGATAGCATGCAAGCTTCCAGCCTCAAGATCAAAGCTGCCTTTAAGTTACGACTGTGCAGAAAACCTATCAAATCTCATTTTCAAAGTTAGAACTGAACTGGGCCATAACTTCCCTGGGTGTTGAAACGTTCCTATCCAAAGGAGCATTTTTTAAAATAAAGTTGCATTAATACAGTAGTTAATAGTGTTGACATGCTTTTAAGTAGAGCAGTAACTATGGATGTTAAACTCATGTATTTGGCTTGGGTAAGGGGTGGCTGTTAAAGATTAGCTATATTTTATTTTAATCAAATAAAAGTTAAAACACAGTGACTATTTATCAGAAGGGAGGGAAGGAATGGAAGGAAAGGAGGGAGGGAAGAAAAGGAGGAAGGCAAAGAAAGGAAAGGAGGGAAGGAATTGAGGGAAAGAAGGGAGGAAAGGGGAGAAAGATAGGTCTGAAGTATCTCATGATTATGAAATATTCCTAGTCTTACTTCAGGATACAAAATCTCTCAACAAAATGAGTTACAACAGTTGATTAATACTGTACTGAACAACAGGTATATTTACAGTACAGTACACAGCCTCTTAGGACTCTAAGTACTGTTAATAATGAACTTTTCCCCACTCCCCTGTAAGCCTTTCTTACCTGCTGCTACAGCTCTCAAGAGCTTCTTGTCCAAAATAGCCCTCAGTCCTTCTTTAAGGAAACATTAGAAAAATATTTTTCCAACTGACTTCTAGCCCAGGAGTTCCATACCCCTTTACTTCTAATTTGTCCCCATTTTCTTGGACTTTGTTAATTTGGTTATATGTGGCAAAAACATTTAAATTATCAGTTGTGCTCCACATAACTGAAACATTCTCTTTGCTCCTCTTCAGTCATCTCTCAGTATGAACTTCTCTTTAAGGTACATCCAGAACACAAGCATAAATATTTTCTTTTATTAAACCTGTCATCTGAACAACAGAAAGTGTTGAGAAAGAAAAGAGGCAGAAAAGAGTTTAGCATCTCAGTTTTTACCTACCTTCATATTCTGCTTTCTTGTTTGCTTCCAAGTTTCTCCATTCAGTTCCTACAAGTCTGCTGAGCTCTCCAAAGGAGTAGTCTGGGTGCTGAGCTTTAATCACAGCTCTCATCTCGCTGCTAAACAAGATGTACCCACTCATGTTGATCTTCCTTTTTGATCCCTCCTTCTTGGTGCTGCCCTTAACAGACTTGGGAGTGGACTGTGAGAAAAAGCAATTATGACCACAAGTGTACAAAAGAGAAGGCCAGAAGAGAACAAAAGGAATCGTGTCATATCACAGATTTCGTCCACTGGGCTATTCAGAGATGTTGCCAACAGGAGTTAAATATTTTATTTGCCATCGCACATTTAGGAAAATGCTTCCCCACTTCCTCCTTGGCCTTTACAATACCTACTCTCCCTCATTCTACCTTCTAAATGTTATTTTGCCTGCCAGACCTTCCTTGCTCTCTAGTGTTCACTTCTCATTACCTAAGTAGCCATTTCTTCCTGAAAAACCAAAGCCCAGTTTTGCTGATCACTGTTTACCTGCACCACAGATTCACATCATGTTCTTACGTTGATGAGCAACGAAAATTCTGCTCCTTTGCTTTTCCTACTATGGATACCCCCAAGTGAGAGCTCCCCGATGTTTTCAGCCACCAAAAAATTACCCTGTTTTGACATCTCTACACTGAGATACCACAGCTTAGAGCCCCCTTTTTAAGGCACTTAAACCTGTATTTGTCACAGGAGACCATAACTAATCTATACTCTGACCAATAAGACCCACAAATGTATCATCACATCAAAACCCTCTGAAGGCCTTCCTCACACCCCAAACGTTACAAATCTGTCACATCTTGAAAAGTGCCATTGTTTCTAAGTACCTGGTGGAGGCCAAAAGGAAACAAAAATACATTCAAATGGTTCTTTCCTCTCCTGAAATTGACTCCTCCTACTTGCTGCTTTGACCCCACAGTTCAACACTCTCCTCTCAGCTAAAAACAAAGTTTAAGTAATATCAAGATGCTTAAAAAGTCTTGCTTATCAATTTAAGCAAGATGAACTGAGGTCCATTCAAATGCAATTCTAAACTTCACTGCACTAACTTGCAATCCACCCTTGAAGTTTTCATTATGAAACTAAAGACAACTTGTCTGGAGGAACAGAAGGCTCCACACAGGGTTTGGGATGATAAGGCAAATACAATTCCATCCTGGCTGCCCGGGCAAGCCCACACTGGCAGATGGAGAGTTCTCAAACCAAGAAGAAGGAAATCTAATTCTATATTTGGCCTCTGATACATCTGCAGACAGCTACAAGTTTACCAGCTGCTCCAGCCTATGTAGTTCTTGCAACAGTTCTGATTACAGTAATTTATTGAGAAAGCCTCCCCACCAGTTTGGAAGGGCAAACAGGACTTGGAGAAATCATAAGGATTCCAAATTTGGTTCTGGCATTCTCCATTCTTTTCCATCTCCCATCCACACATTTTTAAATGAACAGTCTTTTCCACTGGAGCCAGAAACTGCACATATACTTTCAGACTTGTTAAAAGAAATAAACCAGGAACCCCTTTCATGCCTTTTCTCAGCCATACTACTGAAGCAAACAATGAAGCTGCACATCTTTTTAAGTACTTTGACTTGATTCACAGCAAATTGCAGCAGAAAAGCATCACCCACCTATCTGCCAAGCCCCACCATACCACATAGTTACTTGTCTTGGCTCCTCTTAGGTGTTATAAGAGCTTCTTTGTTGGCAGAATAAAAAGTTTAAAAGTTTTGGGGTTTAATAGTTGTTAGATAAAATTCCACTTCTATTGGAATACTCTTCAAAAATTTTCAAGCTCCTTATAGAATTCTGCATGTTAAACAAGAGCAGTGAGCAACCTTGCAAGGGAAAATGCATTTGGTGGTTGGCCACATGGCAAAACATCAAAATCAAACCAGGCAAAAACTTCAGCAACTCTTTCACAACATCCAAAGACATTTCTACCCTGGAGTCACACTCTTACAATGTAATGCAGCAGAAATCCACACTGCTGGTCACAAGTATCTGGAACTCCCTCCTGTTCCAAACAGATCATTCCCTTTGCCTCTTTAAGACTGGCATTAGCTTAGATGTGGGAGTATGGTGACATACAGGGTTTAATCAAGTTGCAAACAAAGTTTTTTGGTTAGTTGAATTTCCAGCTAAAGCAGTTCCCCACTCTGCTTCCACGCTCAGTAACACAAATTCCAGGCCTTATGTAAAAAATTTGTATTTGACTTTTATATAAACACTTGATACTTCTGAAAAAGTGTCACAGAAAACCTCATTATTAGAAACAACACTAATACATAAAAATGTACCCTGGGTTTTCCTCAGCTGAATGATCGCCTTTAAAAATATTTTAATGGAATGAAACACTATCACCTGGATATCATATTGGACATGCCAACATTGTTTTGTGTCATTTACTCCACACGCTTACAAACTTCAGTATAAATCCTATTTTTGTATATGATAAAATGTTACTTTCTTCATTTGGATTGGGAAAAGAATGTGGAATATCAAGGTTCAAGGGCTCCTGAAGGAAAGTCCTTACCTGGGGTGGAGTATAAGGCATTATATCCAAATCACTGGCTAAGGGGGCCTGAAGCTGAGGCATAGAAGGTGTTTCAGTCATATCACCTTCCTCTTCTCCCATCTCTTCCATGTCCTCATCACCTCCTTCCAACTCAGCAAATTTTGCTTCCAGCTGCTGAATCTTCTTTTCTAGGAGAGGAGATGGCTCTTTCTGAGGAACTATGGGTTTCCTGGAAGATGGAGGAGGAAGACAAAAAGCAGCTGAGAACAGACTCATACCTTACAGGAGAAAGAAGTTGTTTTGAAGAGAAAATCAACTTCCCTTAATTTCTGACTGAACAGTATAGAAACAAATGTGACTTGAGATATGCTTATGCTTCCTTTCAGAACCCAGAGCAGAACTAATTTTATGTCTATGCCAGTGTTCATTTCAGTCACTTGTCAGAAGGATTTTTTGAGGTAGAAGGGGATTTCAATACAAGTATTTAATTGCCTTCTCTTGTAGAAATTAACACCACAGCTTCCTTAGATTTCACATTTCACTTAAGTTAGAACTTAGTCTTATTTTATTAATATGAATGTTCACCAAAAGATTTTTCTTATGCATAATGAGGATTTAAGTATTTTCCCAATATCCAAGAGAATGTACCAATCTGATAAAGTAATGACTTTTCTTGAAGTAAGAGGAAGAAAAAGAAAACCATCAGTATTAAGAAATCCATCAGTACTAAGACCTAAAAGGACTGATGCTATCTGCATTTCTTCCCAAGAGTGTGGTTATCTGAAATTACACCTCTGACTTCTGTGGATGTCCTGGGTCAAGCTGGGATGGGGTTAATTCCCTGCACAGCAGCTGAGAGGTGCCTTGTTTTGGATCTGGGAGACAATAGGGTGGGTAACACATCCTGCTGTAATTAGTGCTGGACAGCTCAGCATCAAAGCCTTTCCTTTTTCCCACTCTGTGCCCCAGCAGGCTGGGGCTGGGCAGTGATTTGGGAGAGGAGACAACCAGGACAGCTAAGCCAAACCAGCCAAGAGATATTCCATACTCTGACACCATGCTCAGCAATAAAATATGGGAGAAGGAGAGGACAGGGTACATTCAGGGTTATGGCATTTGTCTCTCCCAGTAACCATTACAGGTGCCAAGGCCCTGCTTTCCAGGAAACAGCTAAACATCAGCCTGCTGATGAAACACAGGGAATTCATTCCTTATCTTGCTCTGTCTCTGCATGTAGCTGTGCTCCACTTTCCCAACTATTTTTAACTTGAGCCAGGAGTTTTTCTTCCTTCTGCCCTTCAGATTCTCTCCCCTATTCCACTGTCAGTGGACAGTGACCAAGAGGCTGGGTGGGACTTAGCTGCCAGTCCATTACAATCCAGAAGAGTGCTCAGGTGATCCCCTCATTCCCCTCATATTTTTACCTAAAATAGTATATTTCATCATCTACAACTTTTGCAGACAGTGAAAACCTCTTCAACCCTTTGAATTTCTTCATTTGTTTGTCACTTTCATTGTAGCGGCTCTCACAAAGAAAAACATCATTTTCGGAGATTTCTGTTGGTCTGCAGGAGAGGAAGTCTTTGAATGACAGAACGACACACTTTCCTGCAGAAATGAAAGAGCTGGGTAAGAAGGCAGCCACACTTGTAGATTCTTTTAGAAGTGTGGAAAGTCCATTGTTTTGCCTGTAAGTGTGGAAGATTCCAGGCATTTGGCACAACTACAGAAAATACATCACTCTATATTCCAGTCAAATAATGCCACTCACAAGAAACTTACAACAGCTTAATGCAGCTTTTGGATTTCTTTCAAGAACTAGAGAACCCACAAAATCACAAGCCCCCATGATCACTGTCAGTTACTGTATTTATCACAGCATCATAACTCCAAAACAAAGTACACAGCCATCATGTTCTGCCACAAATCAAATTTCAACCTCCCGCTCCTCCTTTCAACTTTGCAGGCAATATGTACTGGAGTTATTACATTAATATGCAAGAAAAATGAAGTTTTCTGTTCTCTAGCTGCAAACAATGTTAACTTTCATATCACACATGTAAAAAAGCTTCCTTATAGTGAATTTTTATCACAGGTCCCACAGGCAGGAATGCATATTAAAAACTCACTGCATGGTTATCTCCTCCCTCCCTCAATGAAAAAGACATACTTGGAATCAAGCCTACACAAAGCTTTCAATCACTTTAGGTTGTGCAGAAAAATAAGATGTCCATCAGATTAAAGCTGTCAATAATTACCCAAAATGCAAGTCATGGGACAGGTCTCCTCCAGGTTACTCAAAAACACCTCCTTCTTGTAGAACATTTTAGTTGGCTCATGCTCAGTTTCTTCAGGATGTATAAAGATTGGACCAAAGAAATATGCGGCTCCATCTCGCACCCACATCTTCTCAATTCTGCAAAGAAACCAACCCAGCAACATAAATGAAAGTTCTCCCAAATGAGGCAGCAAGATGTTCAGGAAGACCATCAGTGGAAGATGAATACAGAACAACCAATTCCAACTGTACAACTGGACCAGGTTTTTATTAGGCAGCTAAAATTTCACCTCCATCTATCAAGACCTTGTAACACTTCACTCACATTTTTTCCCATCCTCTTTCATACCTTTTTACAACCAGCCCCTCTTTTATCCAAGTTCTTTTTCAGCTGTAAACTGCAAACAAGGAAGCTGCCCCTACCTGCCCACTCGAGGCCGCACCAGCCCATGTGATTTGATGAAGACACAGTCCCCAACCTTCAGCCACATGTCATTGTAGCAGAGCTGCTCAAAGTAATGGCAACCAGGTTCCCCGTTGGACATTTCTACTGGAACATCTTCTTTGTCCTGCAGGAGAAGAAGTATTTAGAAACTTGAGGAAGGAGGAAAACCAAGCACAGAAATAAAGAGATGTCAGGTACCAGTAAAAGGCTTTGCTCCATCTGTATGTTAACAATAATAGGTAGGCATTAAGCACAGATGTGTGTGCAAAAGTTTCCTGAATTGAAAGCCAAAGATATCCTCCATGTCTGTCACAAGCCTTCCTGTTTCACAAAGCTCTAATTTTGCCAGAACAGTAATTTACAGGTTTTTTTTGTTGTTGTTGTTCTAGTGCTTCAAAGTAAACTGGCCAAGCCAAGCCTTGTCAGCTTTGAAGGTTTAAAGCCCAGTAATGTACTTAGGAAGCAAGAAAGGAATATATGGCCAAGCTAACAGACACAAAAATATAATTATTCAACTCTCTTATACAATAATGTCAAACTCCATGTATTGCTTACAAATTCATACCATCTGCCCTATTTAATTTCTTACTTTTTCGTAAAAACTCAAATTGTGCCTCAATTCCTCCTTTTGTGCTATCAATTTCCTTATTTTCTTTTTCTACATCATCTTTCAATCCCATCTTTCAGCCTGTGATCCAGAAAGCCAAGGAAACACAGGCTGTCTCACCAAGGCATGGAAGGAGAAGATCCTATGAGTTTTCATTCTCTCAGTAGAATTAATTCCATCTTTGGCCATGATGTGAATAAATATACTAATACACACTAGGTGTCTGACAAAAGCTGATAATGGGTGTGCTGGGTACTGTGTTCTCAGGTTCTGTTAGAAACTGCAAAGTGGATTTTTCATGGGTTTTTTTTCAGTGATTTATGCTATTATGAGTCTCTTTTTTTTTCATGACTAAATTTATTTCAGAGAAAACTAATTCAGTTTAACTGATTTTAATGCACTTGCCTAAATTTATTTGTTTTCTTACTCTAGGCACAAAAAATGAACCATTTTATCCACTAAGTTGGACAGAAATACTCTTAAGCATTTTGACAAAAATGCTTAAACTACTTAGTTATCAACCACAAACAGGCCACAAACAATAGAATATTATCTATTACTTACTGCTGCCTAGCTACTGACTGTTTTCCTGAAATACTACACAACAAAGCATTTCAGCACTGCCATGAACTAAAATTAGACTTTTAGTTCTACTGGTTCTTTAGGCTTAGGGCAGGCTTTACAGTAAAAGTGCAATTTTCTGACGTGGTAAAAAAACCACACCAACCCCATCATACAATCACAAGAAGTAACAAATATTTACACAGTTCATTATTTTCTGTTTTGTCTTCTTATAGTTTGATTGTGTTAATTTACAAATGTCTGCAATATCATTTATAACAAAAATATTATACTCATTTATATTTTTATTTATTTGGATGTGGTGAAACCCAAGCCATGAGGGCTAATATTTTGTCATTCTCTATCTGTCAAATACAACCAATGTTCCCCTTGCATACCTTTTCAAGATGAAGGATACTTTCTCCCACCTTACTGTCCTCCAGGGTTTCACTGTGTTTCTCCTCATCTACTTTGTCTGTATTGGCAAACACAGAAGCAACTCTGACTACAGGCAGGGGCACATCTCGTGGGACAAATCTGACAGAGCTCACAGGCATAGTCCACAGTTTAATCTTTTTAAAAGACTTTGTCTTTGCAGAATAGCGTGACTCACACACATAGACATCCTCATCTCTGAAGTTTTCAGGGCACAATTTAAAATATTCCTGCAGATTGAAGGAAAGATATTAAATATTTCAGCAACATCCACACCCCACAGACACACAGTGAACTCCCTCTCATGGCTTCAGTTTTTTCTATGCTTCTCAGCAAAAGAAAGTCTTTTTGCTGAGTTCTCTTCTTCCAGTTTGATGTCTAAGTTTCACTAAGAATAACAGCAAACAAGAAACCCCATTAGCTCCTTCTCTTCCTTTGGAGAATGAGCTAATTCAGTAAAGGTTGGCATGTGAGAAGAGTTAGGTTTTATTCATTTCCCAATCCAGTGCTTTAACAAGTACAAGATCTGAAGCCTGAAATCACCTTCACAAGATATTTGAGCTTTGACTTGGGAAAAGGACACATTCACCAAGCCAGGGGTGACCAAATCAAACACAAATCAACCAGCACAGGGAAACTATCACCTGTGTGAACCACGTATCTCAGGAAGCAAAGGAAGATCCAAACAGCCCACAGAAGCAAGTCCTATTTAATTTAGGTATTAGTAGAATGTCTCTATGTTAGAGTGCCTCCAGCTCTACAGGAAATAGCAGAAAGCATTACTTGTTCTATAAATTAATCTGAACAGTCTCTCACCTTGACAAACATGACTACACATTTGCCTAAAATTTTGCTAACAGGAACTTTACTGTAATAATCACTTTTAAAAACTTCTTTCTCCAGGAATTTTCGTGTTGCAAGATGGAAAGTTTCATTTGGTCGATAAAACCAGCAGCCATAGAGCCATTTCTCTCCTTTAAAACAGAAAACAGCAACAAAAAAGAGAAGGGAGACAGAAAGAAAAAAATGTAAAATGACAATCTCTAGTACATGAGTTAAATAAGAACAATTACAAATTGACTGATTAATCAAATAACCATGCACTCATTTATACTAGGAGCAATCTGCATCTAAACAGGGCAATATTCAACTTTTCAGAAAAGGAAAACAAGTTTTTTTAAAAAAAACTACCAATTGTTATTTCTCCTGTAAAACCTGACTCAGCAAAAGAAAGAAGACATTTGTTCTTTATAGATCTTGACTTTCAGGCCTTGAAACAGTTTTGAAGTCAACAATCACCTGATTATTTAAACAATCTCAGGTAACTGTTTTTAACTTTTTAATAACTATTTCTTTCATTTTATACTGTGACAAATTGCATGATGACAAATTCAAATTGATAACAATGATTTATAAAGAAGTTACAAATATGTACTATTTTTCAAAATCAAAGGAAACCTGAGCCTATCTTTGGTTCAGATTCGTCAGCACAGAAAAAAAGTGTTCTTCTGCACCTGAATTACAAGGAGTCCATCCCACTAAGAATCCCATCCTTGCAAGGGTACATTTGAGGGTAGGCAGAAATGAACACCAAAAAAAAGCCCATGATGTCCCAAGAATTTTCTGTTTGTAATATCCTTCGGAAAAAAGCAACTCAGAAACAGCAACAAAAAAATACTCACTGGTTCACACAGTTCTGCAAATAAAATAAGTAACATGCACACAGGAAAAAAAAAAACAAATTGTAAGCTTAAAATGATAATAGTAAGTTCACCCTAGTGTTTTCCTGCAGGAAGGACATCCTTACCAGCTGAATCTTCCCACAGCCTCTCGATGCAGACGATGTGAGGCTGCAGGCTGGCCTCTGCAGGCTCCACATACACATAATCCCCCACATGGTACATGCTGTTCTTGAAGCTGCAGTCCTGGCTGTAGGTCCGATGCAAACTTGACAGCCCAGCAGATCCAGAGGAATCTTCACTCTTTTCAGCTTCTTATTTCAGAAAGGGAAAACCAGATGTTAGTAATGTCAAATTTCCATATTAGCCAAGATTCCTGATGGCAGTGCCTCACTGTGACCCTGGAATAATCAGGCTTTATTGCTGCTGACATCTATGAGGGAAGATGAACCATGTTAGAAATTTAATTTGTGGACAAAATTGCCAACAGCTGTGCTCCTGTGTGTAGAAAGGTGCAATTGGAGAGCTTATTTATTCCTTTAAACATGGTGCACAGACAACCAACCAGGAACTGTGAAATAAAGGACCTTCAGTGTATGCTTCATGCCCTACAAAATTGTGCAAGCCCACTCCTCTGCACATCCACAGTAGCCAAAACACAAAAGGCTTATCAAACCTCTGTTCTTCAGCAGTGTTAAAAGCATGATCACAGACCATGCAAACACCATCAGTATTGGTCAAAAAGAAAATGATTAAGAGATCAATGGGAATATTCATTGCTAAGTTTATTATCAGCAGAAAGCTAAAGTAAAAAGTAAATTGTTTTCTTTTATAATATCCTTGAAAGAATACTCATACCCCAATGTATTCTGATTAAAGAGTTTACATAGGGATAATATCTACCTACATCTCTTTCTTAAAAGCTCTCTGGCCTGGATGATAAAGATCAAAATAAAATAAATCTCTCATAACTTGAAAATAAAAGACTGGGGGCCAAGCAGACTATTGAGGTCCTTTCAGCAGGCTGCAGTGACACATTATATGTGTGGGTACATTTTTCATTTGGTACATTCAAAATTAATGAAACAAGAGTATCTACCTCTCTTCTCCTCCTCCCTTTTGAGCTTATCCTCCTCTATTTCTTTGGGCAGTTTTTCCTTCTTTTCCTTTTCTACATCATTGTGTAGATGCTTGGTGGTGTAGCTGAGAGCAGGTGACAGCAGAATCTCTCCATTTTTACAGAGTTCATCTCGAATTTTAATGAAGAACTGCTGAAGTTCCACTGCATCCTCATAGATCTCCGAATCAGTCCTGTACAAAAACATGAGCAACAGGGTAAAAACACAGTTTGTGAAGGGTCAAACAGGAGCCTAACACACCCATCAATCACCACTCTTTTCAACTGAAAGTTTCACTCTACCAATAAGATTTCTCTGCTTCCTCATAAGGAGCAGCAGAGACTGGCTTGAAGCCATGAAGTATTAAGTGATGCTTCACCTGTTAGTCCACTGTCAATTTGCATTATAGTTTACCCACAACATTATTTTGGTATATAACAGTCCTGAAATGCAAGGAAAATCAAAGATAACTAGTTGTGACAAGGCTATTGCCACTGCACCTCTAAAATCTTTTAACTTCTGAAAACTTGAGTAATGACAGTACTATTAACAAAACTCACTTATTTTAACTATTCATACTCCTCTTAGTAGCTATTTTACGATAATTTTTTACTTCCTCTCTTCACAGTCAAGCTCTCACCTGAACATTCCTAAAAAGGCTTCTAATTCAAGCAAAACGCTACAAGAAGTTGCAAGTGTTCATAGTTTTTGCATGGTGTTACCATTACTCACCCACGTGTGACTGCTCCAAAAGAGTAATTCACTATTTGAACAGCTAGAGAACAGCTCTCTTCACTTTTTCAATTTGAAAGTTAGCAGGAAGCTTTTTGTCAAAACAATCTCTTAGCAGAAAACTAACTTCTTCCTTGTTCTCAAATCAAAGCAAATGTTCCACTGAAGACCTGATAGAGCTTTTGAGATTTAGTTTTCCAAACACCCATATCAAGGAAAATAAACACCTTAAAAAAATTTCAGCCTTTGTCTAACATTAAATGCAAACCTCGTGATAAAGATACTTGAAAAATAAGGTTTCCTCACCTGTTCATTCTCCGTGCCCTCTCCAGCACCTCAAACATGTTCTCCTGGAACAAGTCCAATCTCCTATAGCGATTATTTTCAACATTTTTTCGGATAATATCAAAAGTCAGAGGAGGTTTATTTGGGAAGTTGGGATCAACAGCAGGAATCTCAGCTAAGGAGTCACTGTAGCATCTGCCCTCATCATCCTGGTGGCTCATAACGGATACAAAGAGGTTATGGATAAGTTCCTGAATCAGCAAAGTGACATTGGGCACATGAGAATCCTCATCTCCTTCTATTTCTCTCCGCGTTTCAAGCAAAACTTTATGGAGGACCAGGGCATCTTTATAAATCAAAGACTCCGGCTCATTGTATGTGCAAGCATTATTGAACATCATGACAAAGTCCTCCACCATGGAGTCGATGTCCTGGTATTTATTTGCCATCATGTGGCTCCTGATCTTCTCCATGTCCACGGGCTTCTTGATGGTGACGTAGTAGTCGGGGAGCTCGGAGCGGGAGGGCAGGCGCAGGAAGATGGCGCTCAGCCGCCGCCCGCGCTTGTCCGTGTAGTTCTTCACGGCCTCGTACACCTCGTTCAGCTTCTGCTGCATTGGAGTCATGTACTTGGACTTCTTGGGAGAAATGCCACTTTTCCTACCTAACACGACAAAACCAAAAAAGGAGTTAAAATGACAAAGCTGAGAACTTGCACATTTCTTTGTCCATCTCTAGTTTCCACCAGGGAATTGTTCATGGGAGAACCACTTCATGGTATGAGAAGCCTCACAACATGGAGTCTGTTCCAAGCTGCAGCTCCCTTTATTTTTCATAACTCTATGATTTTATTTTTTTAAACGTTCTTTTTGGCAAATATAGAATATGTTGCTCTGTGCTCCACCTGGCAAAGGCCTCCTCAGGCTTCAGCATGGAAAACATATTTTCCTGCCTAACAGCATTAACAAACTCCTCTAAGCTCATTTTGGTTTTACAGCACTTCATGAATTTGTCTCTGCAGCTGCTAAAAATCCTGTCATCACATGGTTTTGCTATCATTAAAATTAAGTATTCAAAATATTATCAGATTCCTTTATGACATGTTTATGCCAAATTAAAAAGGATTATTATAAGTAAAATGCAAATTAAGGCCTCCCATGGGATTATCAGGTTGGCTTTTTGACTAATTCACAATCTCTGTTACTGCACTGCACAGACTACCTAACTCTACACCTGTACTTTATCTAGGAACTGCACATTTAATTTGCAAGAGGACAGTGCACAGTTATTTTCTTTAAGGTTTTTGTGCAATTTTATCCATCTCTGTTTGCTCAGTTCTGAACACATATTAAGAGAACATAAGATCTGAGTAGTAGCAAGGTTGTGAGTGCAACAGCTCAAGGAACTTCACTTCCAGGTTCTTCATGGCTTTCAATAATCTGCCAAACAGAGTACACTTTTTTGTAATCATTCTGTGGGAATCCCAGACATTTAACCAGTGACATGAAGAGATTTGCTCAGTTTGAGAAGCCCCTTACTTGACTGAGCACATAATGCACCATCTAACATTTGGATAATACTGTATGACTAAATCTTAATCCTTCCACCCATTGCCAAGTCTTTTTCCTTCACTTTAAGTTACTTTTCTTAGAAAACACTACATGCAACAACTTAATTCTATTGTATAATACAGACATGCCATTGCTATCAAGGTTTTGAAAATACAATTCTACTTTCCTTGTCAGTGATAACAACTGTGCAGAACATGTCTCTGTCTAAAAGGAAGATCTGTGCACCTGTTTTGTGAACAGATTGTGTTGTAAGTATTGAAATGAGACAAGGAAATGTACAAGGTTGTCTTACTTAGCTTTAGTTTAGGGGATGCAACATCATCATCTTCAGCCAAGGGTCCCAGCTCTTTCCTTTTTTCCTTAAGGATCTTTTCCAGCATATGGGCATCATTGTACACCTATTAATCAGTAAAGTAATCAAAATCCAACCAAAACAAGGTTTACTGTGTTTACCAGTTAAGAACTAGCTCCTAAGAAACAAGACTACAAAAAAGGGGCAGCTGTGTTATCAACTTCCTCATCAAACTCTTCTGCTGAGCAATGAAAGATCCCTTGAACCACTGAGATTCCATCAAGGCACAAAGGACTAGAACAGTCCTGGATTTTCAAACTCAATCCTGGTGATGAAGTGCAGCTGCTGACCAAGTTCCTTACTAGAAACAGCTGGAGGTTTCCACCCTGTTTCACATCATTCCTACTGCCTGAGGAACATCACAATATAGGCACACCCAACAATATACTTGTAAATGAAAACCATATCCCTTTCAGACTCATTTTGCTAAGCTGAACAAGTAATGTCTTCTAGTCTGATCTCCTACACCCTCCACTTCCATGAAAACAAAGCTGTTTTCCTTCTAAGACACCTTTCTCAGAAGTTCTGAGTATTTCTACTTTAGTCCAATAAACAATTGCAATAAATAATACATGTAACAGCTGAAGTGAAACCACCCTAACAGCAGTTTATGGCTGCTGAGCAGCAGAGAGAAGCGTGGCTGCTGACCCCAGGGAGTACCTGGGAGCCCTCCTCGTTGTAATGCCTGGCGTTGCGGAACATGAGCTTCATGTCCTCGATCATGGCCTCCTCCGCCGCGTACTTGTCATTGCGGATGTTGTGCTCTATCATCTTCAGGTCCATTGGCTCCAGGATAATTTTGTAGTAGTCTGGGTAGTCCTTTTTGGATGGCTTAACCATGAAGAGATCACAGAGCCGCCTGCCTGTGCCGGGCTCCCGAGCTTCCAGAACCGCGTTGTACAAGATCTTCATCCGCTGCTTCCGGATGTTCTTTTTGCTGTCGGGTTAAGAAGAACACAAAGGAAAAGAATAAATGTCAGGGGCTCTTATCCCCACTTCCAACACTAATATCAAAATTATGCTATCCTCTACCATGAAAAGACAACCAGACCCACCTAAACACACACAAGAAGTTCAACACTAAGACCAGAAATTGCAAATGACAACAGCATCACAATCACGAGCCTGACACAGAAACAGGAAATTACTCCTCCAGATGATTGTTCTCTCATTGACCCCAAGTTCAAGTGTTCTACAAAATAAACCAACTAACTCATTTTTCAAAGTGCAAAGGCCAAAAGGAGCTCTGAGCACATTCCAGATGCAGAGGAAACAGAGCAGTCAGGATCAGGCATCTGAATCCAAGAGCTCAAGATCCAGGGTGAACAGGTTAAAAACCAACAGCCAGGCTTTCATGATTACGTCTGGTGAACACAAAATATCAAGTACATGAGCTATTTTTCTATATTAAAGACATGAGCTATTTATCTCAGAGTAATTCTGTACATTCTTCAGTACCAAGTAAGTACATCAAGGATGTAGTAGAAAGAATTGCTTAAATATCTGTCCATCCAAATGAAGACTGAAGTCAATAAAGTTCACCAAGACTCCAAACCCATGTAGAAAATGGTATGGGCTATCCCCACAAATGCTACAGTCACCCTGTGCGTAGCTGTTAAAAAAGTACATGGCTCCCTGCACACATAGTACATGGCCTATAAGCAAATCAAAAGAGGGAGAAGAAAATTTATGTCAGTAATGTATAGTCTCAGCTCAGATACTGTGGCACTCAGCAATACACTCACTACAAAGCACTTGTAAAGAGGCTTCCAATCTGCAATCTCCTCAAGATTTATTCAGGTAGTAATAACTTTGACTTTACATTATCTGCAATGACAACAGCCACCACAAAAACCACCTTCAATTGCAGAATGTGCAAAATATCGCAGTACAACTTATTAGAAACCAAACTGCAACACAGATTTCCCATGATGTGGATCTTTTCATTACACATTTAAAACATAACTAATGCAGTCTCACGCCTCAGATACCTCTTACTCCTTGGTGAGATCAGCAAAATAACTAAAGAAAACTAACAACAAAGAAAACTCAAAATATATATTCTACAGGCTAAACATTACCACTGTTGGCAAATGTTGGTTAGTTCTTCCCACTAGCAGGTGAGCAATGCCAAAATACAGACATGCTGCCAAATCCCCCATTTTAAAGTATTTCCAGGTTTTTCTCATCATTTCAACATATACAGGCAATGCAAAGCCAAAGCAGAAACAGCAGAAGGCCTGCCAATACTCAAGATTCATGTCATGCATCTGATACATAAAAGGGGACACTGAAACAACTTTCTTCTGGGTAATTGTTATTTTCCCAACAGGATGAATTTTGCATGGGTTATTGGTTTCCTTTCCCAAAAACATTTTGGAATTCCTCTCATTGCTTCACTTCTGTGATCATCAGCATTTATGATCTTTCCCTTGCTATCATTCAGCAAACAAACGGATAACAAGTATCAAACTGACAACATCAAAAACATTTTCAGGTGCTCTTCAAGCATTCTGATCTCCCTTGCCTACCAACACAGGAAATCCTTTGTTCCCTTTCCTCTTTCATTGTTCTTAGATGACAGGGCCTGACAGATTTTTTTCCTTTTAAGCATTTCAGTAGTGTCTGGCACAAGGTGTTCAAAAGCAACATGGGGTTAAAAAGGATACTGATGACAATTTGACTTGCTTGATTAGGTACTACTTTTTAAATTTGAAGATCATAAAGCTAGTGATTTTTTGCAATTACTTGGTTCTGTTGTCTGCCTTTCCTTTCCATTATATTTCTTCTTCCCAGCATCCCTAGACTGCACCATCTCCTAAAATCCATGTTCATATTTTCTCTCTGAAGCTTTCTAATGAGTGTACATTTTTGCACTTATTTAATTATTCTTCAGTGACTCTTTGCTGATGCTCTACTCCATTCCCTTCCTCTCCAAACAGCTGTTGTTCCTTTGACAAAACAAAAACTAAATGTCCAAGAAGCCAATGTTCATAAGCAACACCAAAGCAAGATGCTGAATTGCAATTTCCCACTGGCTGTTGCTACCACTGCAATATCATCATCTAAGCTGGACTTTACTTCAAATGACACCACAAAGCAGACTAGAGAAACTACCTCTTGCTGGAGTGAAATGCATCACTGGTATTAATTACGAAACAGCTATCACCATAAAGAACACCTCCCAAAAGGCATCATTATGCTCAATAGAAGAGTCTATTGCAAATCACTGGGAATTTGGTTTATGTTACAGGACCCTAAGTAATCAACCTCTTAGAATCACTTTATCTATTTGTCAGGCTAAAATAAAACAACTCTCCCCAAAAAATCCTGAAATCCACTGACAAAATCGCCTAGTTCAGTACAATTACAGTGCCCATTTTTCTTACTGATGTTGACAACTGCCAACTAATAGACCAAAATAGGGAATTAATAGTCAGCAAGTAGTTTTGAATTAATTTGAATCAACACTTAATGATGTTTCAGAATTACCAATCCTTACACAAATGCTAAAAACCATGGTTTAATACTCTCTTTAACGAAAAGAGATGCAGCAATGTTATGGCCTGCAGGAACTACAGAAGCAGATACCTTTTCCTTTTTGAGCTTCCAGTATCAGATGTAGCAGAAGAAATCATGCTGTCCCCATCCTCAATGTCATCTCTTCTAGCAAGCTCCTTCTTCTTTGCCTGAAAAAAGAACAATGCCCTGAAGCCAAACTCACTGCTGGACACTTACAGAACAGAATTAAAGAGTATATTGCTCTTTCTAACTGACAGAACAACTTTTGAGGAACCAAATTGAAATCAATACCATTTCAGACTACAGCACTTAGCTGGAACACAATGAAATCTGAAACGTTTTAGCCTTATTCAATTAAAGGAAAACTCAAAAAAACCCTACATCATCAATTTTCTCACAATTTAATTAGGTTAGGAGTCACAGTAAGGAATAAAGTGACTAAAAGAAATCACAGAAGGCAGGAGGTGTGCTGAGGAAAAATCACTTCATGATGCTCTCCATTCCCATACTTCCCTCTAAGCAAGGAAATACTTCTGTAAATACAGGTCTAGTTAAAAATTATTTTGGAAAAATATCCTTTAGGGAAATAAGTTTACATGTGAAGTTATATCTCTCTGCTTGTTCTCCTCCACATACCTGCATAACCTGCTGCATTTTCAAAACTCTTTTATAGATGGCAGAATTGGGGACATTGTACCGCTTGGCATTTTCAAACATCAAATTCAGATCAGCCTCCAACTGATCTAAAGTCTCATACTCATGGTTCTTCAGCTTGGTTCTGCAAAAGAGAAATACTAGTCAGCTATCTCTCTAGTTACACAGTGAAAAACAGTTCTTTAATATCCTAATTTCCATGATAAATCAATAGTCAAAGAGCTCTAACTACAGAAATGGGATTTACTTTTTGATTCTCCAGTAACATCTTCCACTTGTAACTATACTAGGGAAATGCATCTCCCAAAGAATGGTTTCAGCAATTTTGGAACTTGTGGAGGCTGAAGTGCTGTTTTCACACTGGGGTGAGATGGTACAGGTGAGGCAGCAGCACAGGCTGCTGACACTGCTGCAGTGCCGAGCCCTGACCTCAGGCCAGCTCTGCACAGCCCCAAACACTGCCTTCCCTCCGTCAATTCCACTCAGCTTCAGTGAGGACCAAAAGTGCCCAGCACCTCTTCTGTTAAACACTCCAATCTGTGCCTTCCCTTAAAAAACACCTGGCTGTTGATTGGTGACACCTGCAAACACACTTCACCTGAAAACAGTTACAAGAGGAGTAAAAACAACAACAACAAAGTCATTTTTCATATGCTAAACACATGAACCAACCTGAGTTAATGCTTAACATAATGTGTTTTCTTGCACAATGCTGGAAGTTCTAGCCACCTTTTTTAAACCTTCCAATACTTAATTACACACAGCAGAAAATACTCATCTGCAGCAACACAAGTCCCAAAGCCTGTCACAGCTGCAACACAGCCTCCTCCCCCTCCTGCCTGGCACACTCAGCACCCACACACCACCTTTAAACCCAGCCTGACTTCTGCAGCTCCTGGCTGAATGTGTCCCTGCTTGATGGAGCATTCTCACTACCATGGAATAAATTTAATATAAAACCTTCCAGCCCCAAGCTTGCTCCTACCAGCATTTGCTTATCCAGTACCCAACAACCAAGGTGCAGGCCATCTGATTTTAAACAAACAATTTATGTTCACAGCTGTGCTCATCAAAGGCCTGAAGCAAAAGTAAAAACCCAGACTTAGACTGAATAAACCGGTTTGGAAAGTGACAACTTCCAACCAGTGACGTGAGGAATGAAAAATGTCCAGGCACAGAAGTGATCCTGTTCTAGCCTCCAAAGAACCTCCTCTCCTACCATTCTCTGTACTGCTGTCAGCAAACAACAGGATGATTAATTAGGTAGGTTATTTACATAAGTACTTTGAACAGATTTAATTACACTCAAACTCAGCAGAACTCAAGCATCATGACTTCTGTGGATTTAGAGGATGAAGTGCAGCTTTACAATAAATTTTTAACAAGCCATCTCACCAATCTTGGGAAGAAAGGATTTTATAAACATCAGTTTATTTCACAAAGTGAAGCTGAAACTAACCAAACTCATGCTCTACAGAAAGCCATTGCCAACATAACACAAAATATATACTAGAAACTAACAGAAATTTCTGTGAAAATTATTGACAGGGATTAACTGTACCTGAAAGCATGACTAAAACTAGAAAGAATTTCCTTTTAAACAAAATCATCTTTGCAAAATGAAGGAAAAAAAATTTAAAAGTAAGGCTACAGTTTCATAAGACCACTAAGCCCGAAACAACACAGGCATGACATTTAAGTTGGTTGAAATCAGAATACTAATTAAAAGAATACTGTAAGTTGGCACTCTCTAAAATGTCTACTGCAAACTCATCAGTCCTTCCAGGTGGAATATCTGCAAGGACTGAAGGTGAGACATACTCTTTCCATATAATCAAAAGTTTTATTAGACAAACACAGCCTAAAAATTTCCTACTGAAAAACATTCAAAAACCAGGATAAGATCAGTTATGCAACTTATTTTCTTTTATTCAGAAATTGTGAAGTGCTAGTCTTGTCTCTTCAGGGAAAAACAACCCACTAACAAAGAATGAGTGGGATCAAGAGATGCATTTGACAAATGTCCTATTGAAGATGACAGTCTTCTAAAATATATTGGGAATCTTCTTTACTTTAACCTGTGATTTTGTGAATATACAACATGCACTAGAAGTACTTGCTAAGGTAGGAAAACTGGTTACACAAACAGAAGATTTAAAAAATATACACTATTCACCAAATAATAAGTTATATTAAGTGACAAAAGGAATGAAAGAATTCCTAAACCTCAGATAAAGTGAAAATTTACAGTGTATTCAAAATATTAGAGACGTCATTTTCTCTTCCCAATTGACTCATTCATGAACTAAGCAAACAAAAACATGGAAGTTCTCCATAAACCCCTCAAACTTTAGCCCAGGCACCAGTCTCTAATACTTCAAAATTAGTTCCACTTTTGATTTGCCATATTGATAAAACTGCTTAAGTTATACGGCACAATATGCTTGACCAGGTGATGACATTTAGTATCAGGTCTACTCAAAACCATTTATAACTAATCAAAACCACCAAGAGCCACCACAAAGTTAAAGAGAACCTCAACACATCACATAAATGCAAACATTTAAATTCTTGTGTCACAGAGCACTGTCCAAAAAGCATCACACTCATTAAGAAAAATTGATTTGAATTCCCCAAAAAGCAGCTATCACACACAGCCAAGCCTGTTTAACACCAGATCCCCACACATTTTTAAAACTCAGTGCAGCCCCAGGAGCACAAGGCACCAGGGTGTGTCAGGAAGGTACCAATTTCAGTGCCTGTACTCCCACATGTGTTTCAGAGAGAGCTGCTGCCAGGGAATTCCCTGGCACGCCTTCCTCCCCTGGGATAAAAAAGCCTGACCCACTTGCCTAGGGGATGATACTTCCCAACACTGTAAAATTTAATAAGGAACAGTGTTCTTGTAAGCCTGCCAGGATGTAGCACTTGGTAACTGAACACATTCTCCTGCATCTTTTCCTGACTGTTCCTGTGGTTATTTGTAATTAACAGAATGACTCTTCCCCAGCAATGTCAACTTGGCATTAGGCACTTTCACCACATGTCAAAGCCATAGCCTTGACAGCATCATGTCTTTCTTTTTAAACAGGATTTTCTTGCTCCCCAGCTCTGAGCTTTGCCCCCTTTGAGGCAGGGAATTCTCCTCAATGTGCTCAGCATCTGGTGGGAGGGAATGAAGGGGCAGCCAGGGTCACCTCGGCTGTGTCCACTGACTGGGCAAGAGGTGAGTGGAACAAATGGAAACACACAAAATGTCAGCTGAACACAAATGGTTTTTACTGTGAGGGTGGTCAAACACTGGTTGCCCTGGGAGGATGTGGAGTCTCCATCTGTGGAGACCATCTAAACCTGACTGGACTTGAGGCTCTGGGTGACCCTGCCACAGCCAGGGCTTGGGCAGGACGGCTTCCCTCCCAGCCTCAGCTGTTCTGTGATCTGTGAGCAGCAAGCCAGGAGGAAATCAGGAGACAACTAAAGGCCATCAGCATGATTACCTCCCACACCCAGGAACAGCTCAGGATCAGCACTGAGTTCAAATGACTGAGGTTCATAACACTCAAAGTGAGGCTGGCACAGGTAAAATCTCATTAAACCAAAACACGCTCACACACTCCCTCTGGCAATCATGTATTATTTTAAAGACTTTTCCTTCACTTAGCACACACAACCCCCCCCCTGAAATATATAACTAGTTGTAAAATTTGCAACAGCCACACATTTCACAGCTCACTGTGGCAGGACAGCTGAGGCAGCCAGATGCCAGAGCCAAACAGACATGAAACAGGAATGGCAGGCTTCACTCCTCCTCCTTCAGCTTTTCACTGGGACACTGAACTTTTCTGTCCCCATCTGGGAACAGAAGATATGCTCTATTTATGTACATCTCAAAAGAATCCCCAAACCACCATAACAAGAAAAGAAGGGAAAAACCCCACAGAAAACCAAAGCCCCAAAACCCCACAAACAATCTCCACCCCTAATGAGTGGCAGTTTTGAATACCTAAAGACATATTAGCAGTGTCAGCAAAGCCATCATGCTTCCGTTTTCCCTAAAGCCCATCAATTAAGTGTACATATACATGACTTCAAGGTTTTCAGGTACAGTAAGAAGTGAAGATTACAAGGTAATTTAAGACAGCTGAATTTCAGTATTTGCAAGATGCTACATTCTACAAATATTGTACTTTAATTTGTGAGCCTCAAACACTATTTCTAAAAGATTCCTTTTCTTATTTTCTAAGGCCCCAGACAAAAAAAAATCACTTTTTCTACAGTTCTTCATACACTGGTATGGAATTTTTGTGCTGCTCACACAGCCAGATGCAACCTGCCTACACTGTAAGGAAAGCAGAAATGCAGCTGCCTCTCTATGGCAAGTTATTTGTTCTGTAATTTATATCAAGGGTATTTTTAAAGGAAAATCTCTCTCAAACAAATCTGTTTATATATAATTTGAGCCAGTACTTTTAGGCACAATCAGGCACAAACTGTCAATGATTCTTAATTTCACTGTTTGGTTTTTTTTCATCAAGTACATTTTGTGCTTTGTTCAAGGCAAGACACTTTCTTTGCCACTATTAGAGCTGTACCAAGACATAAGAAAAAATGTTTTAAAGCCACTGATGGAGATAACTAGTGTGGCAGCTTTTATTCCCCAGCACATGCAAAACACCCTCTGACAATATAAAAAAAACCAAAAAGCAGCTTTGTTAGCTTCTGATTTAACAAAGACCCTGCTCATTCAACAATTACATCAAGTCTGAGAGATGGTATGATGGCATAACTAAAATGTACAGACCTATGCATCAGAGTGGGTTACAAAGGATGAGCAGTGGGAGGGTGCAGTGTCTCTCACTGAAGCTGAAGGACTGGTACTGCCAGGGCCTGGAGCCCCAGTGGCCACTGGGCAGGAGGCCTGGGCAGCACCATTAAAGCCTATTAATGCTCCCAGGACCCAGCACACCCATCACACTGGCTTATCTTGAGCCACTAAAGAAAGACACTGCTCACTTCACTCAGGTCTTTAATCTGACAACTGCACTCTGGCAGCTCATGGACCTTTCATTGCTCACACATTTATAAATGCTGGCTTCAGTCCAGACCAGCTAGATCATCATGAAAATAATTATTCTCCACAGTTACACAGTGACCTAGACAGGAGGATTGTAATTCCAACCATCTTCCTACAATTCACACTGAAGACTTTTAACTTAAAAAACATGGCAGTAAGAGGTAATCAAGCCATCACAGACAGGGTAACGAAAAATGGAGTTCTGCAAAAGCTTTCTCATCTCTGCTGCACACCTAGCTGTCAGAATTATTCATATGGCAATTTTCAGGCACGTTACAAATGAAATTCAATGAAAAATAAACTCAACAGCAGCCATGTATCACAGATGATCTAAAGACTGATGCAGACTGAACTGAAACAAGCACCAATCAGATGCAAATACTGCATTAGGTACCAACAGCTTGATCATAAAAGAAGATTCTAGGAATAAAAGAAACACTTGAAAAGTTTCACACCAGATGTAATTTGCATTCTGTACTCTTACCTGATCTGCTGCAATGAAATGGGTGTTTTAATTTGCTGATAATAATCAGGATACTTTTTCTTGGAGGGTAAGTGGAAAAAGGGCTCAGAGATGAGCTGGCCCTGGTTATTACGGCAACTCCTGACTGTGTCATAAAGCTGGTAAAGAGGATTAGAAGTGTCCATGAAGGAGGTAATGCTCTCAGCTTCAGACTCTCCCTCTTCATAACGAGCAGCAGCTGCACAGAGAGAAAGAAAGGAAACTCAGCAGGACAACTCAGTGGGTTTTTTGGTGGATAAAGGTCTAGAGCAGAAGAAAAGGCAAGCCCTGTCTGGCAGTCAGATTCGCACCTCAGAAAATGACACAACACATATCTAATGAGCCTCAAGCTGACAAAAAAAAAAAGTACTTTATTCCAATCCTTTAGACAGTATTAATCACAACTCAATACAGAATTGTGAAGCTCAGCAGAAAAAAATTGGCACTAAAGCCTGATGATGTCCCTCTAATATATACAGCAAATGAAGAAGAAATTAATGTTTTACAATGATTATGTAATAAGCCTAAAAAATTCATAGTAGTATTTAAAAATTTCATACCAAACTTTTCTGGTTATCTTGTTTCAGGATTAGGATGAATGAAAGAAAAGCTATGAAGAGCTAACACCTACTGCAGGCAAAATTAGGAGAAACATTAACAGAAACAAAACAGGAAGGAGAAAACACTGGTACTGGAAACACAGGGTGGGAAGCAATAAATGGCCAATAGTTTTACACTTCCAAGTCACATAAACAGTACACTTTGTACCTTGCAGACAGACAGAACATAAAATCTACATGGCTTTGCACGTGCTAGAGTTAAATTATTCACCCCTATTCCCCTCTGAGTCTGAAGGAGAGCCCAGCAGGCACACTGAGTCATTCAGCTACACAAAACCCAGGTCTCTAAGGTCAGGTTTCTAGCTGGCATTTCCATTCCTGCTCACAGGAGGCTGCCACAGCTCCAAGCTTTCTATCCATGTTCAGTAAGGACATACAGAAATGGTGACAAAGCCAGGGGACACTCAGACTGTACCAACACAGTGCTGCCATTGCTCCTCTGCAGCCCGACACCAGATCTACATCATGTGTGGGACCTACCAGGGTCAAAAGCAAAGCTACAACACAACCAGCACCAGCAGATGTGCAAACATGCAATGAAGATATGAATTACTGATTTGGGGAGACACTCAAAATTATCCTAATGATGCCAACCAGCATTACTTAATGACAGCACAGCCAGCAAAGCAGGAGCTGGACAGAATAACTCCAGTAGAAACAAACCACTGGAGCTCTCACTGAAATCAGGTAAAGCTTCAAAAATAGATTATGCTTTAGTTTCCTCAAACAGTTTCATCTGTTTACTCAAATTGCTCAGTTCTGAGTACTCCACTCAAAAGAAATAAACAAACTGAAAAAGCAGAATAACTTGTTTCTATGAAAGAGAAAACACAAAGGAACTAGTCAAGTAGTTGCTGTTCTCTGCTGTGTGTGAGCCAGCAACAAACCAGTTCAATACCCTAAATAAGAAATGTACTTTCTTTGTGTTGAAAGTAGGCATACCTTAAAAAGAATCAAAGTAAATTAGATAGTAATTAGTTATTTCAAAATACACTAAAAGAAAGCATTTATGTATTATAGTTTACTGTGTTTATATTTACATAATATACAGCTATAAATAAATATAAATATATGTTGTATTTATAAATATAAGTTATAACTATAGTTCCATAATATACAGCTATAAACATACAGCTACATTTTCATAATGATGTTCATGTTCTTTATAACTGATGTGTAAACATCATATATTCTTTGATATCTAGAAAACTGTACTTATCTCCTAATATGAAACCTGCTCTATTAAGAGCCGAAGAAGAATACATTATTCAGTCTAGAAGGCAGAAAAATTCTTATTTTTGCAATAATAGTATTTTTGCTCTCATAGAGCAAACAAACTGATCCAAGACTGTCCTTTCTTTAATGTGCAATAGAACCAGGTCCCATATCCCCAGCAAGCACTGGCAGAGAGGGACAGGCAGTTATTGCCCTTTTGTGCTGCTCTTACCACAACTACAGTTTGCAGATACCACAAAAAACCCCACTGTCTCCTTTGTGCTCCCAAAGCACCCAAACAACAAGTGCTCCATGTCCAACTGAAGATGGTTGCCAGTAAAACCAAAAGCAGCACCCAGTCTTAAACCATCTCTAAATGAGACAGTAAAAACAAAACACCCTGTTTACAGAATTAAATATAAGCAAGTAATACATAATGACCACCTATGCCTGCCTCTAGAGACTTATAATGAGGAGCAAGGGAGCTGCTGAAGCTGTTCACAACCTTGTACACTGGAGCTGGAAATGTTCTACAAGCTCCATCACACCAAAATACCATCTACAGCTGTCAGGATAAACTCTCAGTTGGAAACTGATATTGTTCATTGCTAAGGCAACAGCCACAACCAAAGAAGCTCATAAAGATTCAGCTTTCTGTTTCAAGCAGGAGAGAGTTCTATTAATGTTCACTCATGCAGCCCTGTTCTCATTTATTTTAACAAGAGTTAGAGGAATGAAAAAAATAAGACAGAAGAGCAATTAATAACAATACCCCTTGGTTTAAAGAAAAACCCTTGTCACCCAAAGACTGGCAGCACAGGGCTGTCCAAGTAGTTCACTGGAAGCACATAAAATATTAGTGGGTGACAGGTCTGCCAAAAAAAAAAAAAAGCCATTGCCTCTTAGGTGAATGCAATAAAGATAGGAAAGCTTCAACAGCAGCAAGGCAAAAGCCTCACACACAGAGTGAGGTCTTCAACAAAATTACAATAATGTCCATAGCAAAGGTGGCACCCAAAAGTGGTTCAACCAGAGCAAGAATTTAAATCACTAAAACATAAAAAGCTACATGTTTTTACAGCATTGCAACTTGGAAAAAATAACAGCTAACAAACAAACAAAACCCAGCTAATAAACACTCCCCACACCTCCCAGAAAACAGCTGCTCTGAAGCAATAACTGAACTCTGAGCTAACCAGGAATCAAAATACTTTTACTTACAGCAAGAACTAAAGTCCAAAATATTCTACATACCCATCCACTATAAAACTCTGTGGAGTACAGCTCAATTATCAGGTAAGAAATAAATGCCCCAATAATACATATTGAACAGATGCAACTTTCAGCATCAATGAAGAAATAATATAAACAAAAAAATAAACAAATAAACAATTCAAGCACTACCAATCTCTTTTGCTGCATGGAGCACCCAATATTTTCTCCAGTATCTCCTCTTCTGTTCCATTTTAGAAGGAATAAAACCAGGCAACAGCTCCCTAAAGCTTGGGTGAGAATACTTGGAAACACAGAAAATTCAAAGCATGCCAGCAAGCTTGGCCTACCCTACCTCACTACCTGTAAGATTCAAAGGAATTATACACCAAGTGCAAAATATTTTTGAAATAAATGCATCTGAGTTCATCAGGAGCTCTACAGATTTGGTCATTGTGAACATTTTACTGAAAGGAATTAGAGAAACTGCATTTCAGTTCCTACCAGCCAAAGCTGCATCCTCATCACTTTCTGATCCATATTGCAACGCCATGGTTATTGCTGATAAACGATCCCCTTGGGCTGATCTTTTGTTACTATGAAAGAGAAAAAGGAAAGGAATTTTAAAAATGGAAAAAAAAGAAGTGAAAATTATAATTAAAAAAGGAAAGGGTTATCACATGAACCATTAACAGTCACCCAGAGTGTGTGAGCAAACAAGGCACGACTCCATAAGCAGGAGCACAGATGTGACTAAAGAACGCTGGAGCCTTTAACAGGAGAAATTCTTACCAAGCCATGAGTCTGCCTCTATTTTATGAGCTGGTCCATCCAACACAGTCAGAAAACTGAGCTCCAGCCTACTACCGTCTGTCCTATATATACTTGAATATTTGATTAATTGCAAGAGAAGGGGAATGACAGGAAGTCTCTCTCAATTGATAACTGTGTTATTTGATCCTGTTTTATTGGGATTTGTCTACAGAAAGGAATTCAACACACTAAAAGCTGTATGTTCTATCTCCTCCCATTCCCTCATCCCCACTTTTGGCATTTTCAGCACACAAAGTGCCTGCACATGAAACAGCCTCCTATGCTTTTTAGCTGGAGTAAACTGGCATCTACAGTGGCTACAGTCTCACCAGGACTTCTTCAGCATCCCTCTCATTTGTCCCAAACCTGGGGCACAGTATTTCATACCACATTATATAAGCTGTGCCTGACATTCTCTGCTTCTTTACAAGATCAGCTCTTTATGCACCTCCAGAAATGGGCTCTGCCTTGTCCTGCAGGAGCCAAGTGAAGACTGGGAAAAAGCAGATGGGCTGAGGGCATGCTTGGGCCCTACACTCTCCTATACATCCTTTCCTGCCTCTTGATACAAGCACACAGGTATCATTTCCTTAGTGCGTGGGCCATCCCTATAAAACATCCACAGAGCTCCTTCAGTCCATGACTTTGGGTTCCATCTGTCCCTGCAGTCCTCCAGGGCAGCAGTGCTGGTGCTGGGCTGTTGCCTAATGAAGCCACTTCTGGTTCTGTCCTTGCTGTGCTTTGCCTCTCTTCACCAAAAAAGCTTCATTCACCTGAGTCATTTTTATTGCAGTATCACTGACAGGGTGTGCAAGTCTATGCTTGGATCATGAGCACAAGCATTTGTAGCACCTCTTCCCTGATGGCCTGAGGTGCCACAGGGACTGGGGCTGTCATTCACCTCCCCACTGCCAGTGCAGATCCACGGGAGCCACTCCAGCCTCACATCCTGACCCAGCCCTGGCTGCTGCACTGCTGTCCAGTGGCCCAGCCCCTGGACAGTGCACACTGATGCACTTCCACAACCAGGTTCTCTGCCTGAGCAGCAGCTCCAGCCACAGCTGAGAGCCCAGGTGGCTTTATCCCTGTGCTGCCAGTGCCCCCTGTAGCCACCCCCACAGAGCACGGCCAGCATGAAGCACTGCACACACTTCCCAATCAGCAATAACCACACTATCGGTGTCTTATCAGCATTAATCTCATCCTAATCCAAAACCCGGCACCACAGCAGGTATGAGGAAGAAAATCAAACAAAATTCAGCATTTCCATACAATGAAGACCCAGCTTTTCCTCCAAGGGCACAATTTACTTACCGATAATATTTGTTAGAAGAATTTCTCTCATCCCCAACACTGCCTTTACCCTGTGAGGAAGGACCTGTCAGCTTGGAAGCAGCCAAATTTGATGCAGTCCTTAAGGCAGGAGAGGCAAGCCAAGGAAAGCAGGGAGGAAAAAAAACAGGCCCACCTTAAACCCATGAAAAGATGCAGCAAGAAAAAAAGCTTTTTACAGAATCATTTTGATAGATCAGCCAAAAGGTTCAGAAACAGATGTTTGGAAGCTAAAAGGTAAGTAATACTGAGATCCTTTCAGTGCTTCAGCATTTATGTGGATGTTGTTTATAAAGTCAGAGGAAAGTAACGTTTAGCTCAAGCATTGATAGCTGTACACACAGCACAGCCTAAATAGCAGTGAAAGCAGCCAACAAAATGTTCCTTAGCATCCAGATAAAGCCAATCACACAGGTCCAGTCATGTTTTATCAGCACTTAAAGTCACTGTCAGGTTGGCTGACAGTGCATGTTATCAAACAATTCAATTTTGTCGCTTTAAGGGAGGACAGTTAAATGCACCCACAAAGAGCAGTTTATTATGGCAAAGGAGACAATGAGCTCTGCAATAAAAACCAGAATTTTTGACAAAGGGACAACATATAAAGCTTAGGTTAGTAGCATTATGATGATTTGAATTTGAGACATCAATGACAAAGAACACAGATGCAAATTTAGAAGAAAAATACAGAAAAGGCACTTGAAGTGAACTTACGAGGGAATTCTACCCAAAATCAGCAATAGGTAAAGAACTCCCCTTTAAGACAATTAAACATTTAGGAATTTAAATAAAAATAATGATTCTGTGAAGCAGATTCTTGAGAAAGAAACAAAAAAAGAAGAATGGTTCAACAGAAAAAGCAACCAGTGAAATACACAATAGCAGGTGAAAGGTTTGGTTCTCATGACACTTCTTCTCTTATCCCATTTTTTTCTGCATTCAGCCCAGTATTAGTGTAGCCTGCTTCAGGAATTATTTTTTCCTCCCAAGTTAGAGAAACAAAGGAGGGAGCTGTCAATGATTTTGATAGATTACTTCAGGATTTGAAGTTCTGTTGAGAACACAATACACAAGAGAACATCTAGAATAACGCAGCTGAGAAGTGGAAATGGGTTGGCAGTGCAAGAGAGGAATTCAGCTAACAAATATAGTGTGATTTATCTGTCATCCCTTCTTATACAATCAGATTTTAAAGAAAAACCATTGAGCCTCAGAAATAAATGACACACACCCTGACATGCTGAGCTTCATCAATGGCCAATACAGCGAGAAAAATAAAATCCAAACACAATTTAAACAGAAAACCTCTATGCTTCAGTGTAATTCTAGTTACTGCACAGCAAACACATATGCATGTGTCTGTAGAATCAAAGTCTGCTAGCACTACACATACTTTCACAAAGGAAAATTATTCACCTGTGTGTCAGGAATTACTCCTTAATGAGTATTTCTGCTTTTTATTTTTATATGCTCCAACAGTGATTCACCCAGCCATGGGAAGGATGCTGATGATGAACAAACCAACCAGAAAAACCACTTCTCAAAACACCAAGCAAGAGTAAGAATCAACCAGGCAACTTCCACTTCTTGCACACAATAATTCTAGACAACACTTTTAATACTGGCACCATATACATAGAAAAAATTAAGCTCCCTTTCAGTTAAGGAACAGTGACAGTGTTTCCAGTTGTACTGTACAAACCTTTGTTTCCCAGCACCAAATACCAGCAAATAGCTCCAACAGATAACAAGATTCCACCCTGTTAAGTTTCCCAATTCCTTGAATTACTTGCAGGATATTTCTTAATTTTTTTGGGATAAATGACACAGCTCACATGGGCAAATAATAACTAAACATATTTTTGAGTGTTACTCGCAAATAAAATGTTTATATGAGAAGAAATTTAATTGCATTTCAGTTTCTAAACATTTATAATGATTCCATCACTCCTCTGTACACTATGGATTTTCACAGGAAGAAAATGCTGTTTCTTAAGTAAAATCATTCCATTAAACAAATAGAGCTATCAACTCTTATCAAGTGTTTTATACCTGCATATTCAGGGCCAAATCTCTGCTTCACTAATTAATAAATCCAGTCAAGTTCCTGTGCCTCTTTTCATAGCTAAAATTGCTTTTCAAGCAAGAGTGGACTTCCCTCTAAGTACCTTTTGCCCAAGGTTCTGTCCCTGTGTTTCTGCCCCTACCTAACTGTGAGCCCTTTGGTTTCAGTTCCTAACACGGCTCAGGAATATCCAGCACTTTTCAATAAAACAAATCTTGTTTGTCACTATTCATTTTCTGTTATGAACTTAGAAACACGTGGTGGAAGTTGGCCATAACTTATTAAAGATCCACTGACACTATTTTTCATAATCAAGAACATCACAAAAACATTTCACCACAGAAGTATTTCAATGAAAAAAGCATTCTTTCAGAAACTATTTTAACCAACGTACAACTTATAAAACAACACTAATCTAAGTTTTCAAGCCATTATGTCCCACTATACTCTCCACAGCACAATTAAGGGAACGTCAATAGAAGTTTTTATATGAGATTATAGAAAGAACTCTATTTGCAGTACCTGATTCGGAGACTTGACTTGGCCAACTCACTGTGCTCAATCTCAGCCTTTTTCATATTAAAAATCTTTTTAATCGCATTTGCATCCTGTCAATTAAAAGATTTTTTTTTTTGTTTAATGTTGAAAGTGAATAATACTGTAATCAGATATATCCAGCTATCTAAAACAAAGATGAAGGTGTTTTTACATTTAGATATAAAACAATTTTGCACGAGAAATGAAGCATGGAACAAAGTCTGCCTGAAATACTCCCACACAGTATTTTTACAGTGGCCTGAAAAGACTAAATAGAAGACCTGAGCAGCTTCAAGCTCATTTTTTGTCATTGTTGCACCCCAATTCTACTAAAAGCAATGTAAAAAAGAAAAACCCACTAAAAGCTAAGTTGTTCTGTCATTTTTAAAAAATGCTAACAGGGTCTTGACAGCTTTATACTCAAGACTTATTTAAGGATCAACCAGCATAGAAAGTAGTCAAGAAAATCTGAACTTAAATCACACTATGAACAGCTAAAACTAACCTTGAATACTTGGGATCCAGGCTCATTGTAGGTTTTGGCATTCTTTGCCAGAAGATCTATATCCTTGGCCATGGCATGAATGCTTTTATAAGTTCCATTCTATATAATAAGAAGCAGAACTGGTTAAAGTGGCAAACTTCAGACAGCATGAGAACTAGGCCAATAGTGAAAAGCAAAAGAATTCATATTCAATAAAGGGAATGTTCATAGAAAAACAACTTATTCATAAAGACAACAGATAAGTACCTGGAAAAAGTAATCACACAAAGACAGTAACAATGTATGCTAAGTCTTTATAAAGCTCAGGAATGCTAAGATTGAAATAACACTTAATAGATCACACTACCCTTATTTTGAAGAGTCCTGACAAAACGCTGTTTTAACTTTATTCTCTAGTTTAATCAGTCTATGTCCCATTCCTCCCTACTATACAAAATGCTAGAATTACAGAACAGTATTTCAAATTACTGGAGAACTAAGATGAAAAATGCACCAGTACAAAAGATCTATTTATAGCACTAGAACAGAAGCAGGTGATGATAATGCACAACCAAGCCTCAGTACTCCAATGTTTTACATGAGCAGCACTTGTCAAGGAGCTGCTTTAAGCCATTAAACATCAAGGAACCCGAGATATTCTGGCTCAAAGCCAGCACTCCACAGCACACAATGCTTGATCTTCCACACAGCTACTTCTGCAGCACTAACCCAGCACAGAACATTGAATCACCACAGTGTGCAGATTTTTAAATAGCAAAGGGAAACACATTGCCCTTTCTGCCACCATAAATGCTGACTACTAACCATTCTGGAATGCTTACTGTTAAGAAAGGCTGTACCCTGACACATTAATATGTTCATACCTGTATCCTTTGGGCAATGGTTTTAAGATCTATGGGTTCCTTTATTATTGCATAATAGTCTGGATATTGCTGGAAAACAGAAATAATTTATGTATTACTATAAACAGTCACAAAGCTTTTGTTCAAACAGCTCACAGAACAAGCCATTAGATGAACTGGAGGTAAGAACAGTGTATGCCTCATATAAGGCAGATACAAGGAATTATAATTCATCAATAAACTCACATAAAGGACCAGTTCTGATTGAAAATCAAATCCATGGTGAAGGTTTACAGAATATTTATTCTGCTGATTAAAACTTTCACCACAAAAACAGAACACACTGTTCTGAAACAAAGCAGTACAGACAGGTGGAGTTTGCCTCTGATGAGGGAGAAACAGAGAACTGCACCCTGAGCATGGCCATCACAGCCTGCAACATCAGCTACAGAAATGTCCAGGCTTCCACCTTAGAACACAACCTACATCACTAAAATACTCACCACTTTAGAAGGAAGTTTCTGGAACAGTTCACTTATGAGTCGTCCTGAGGGGTTTGTGGCAACAGCTACAGCTTCAAGAAGCTGTTCCAGAATTTCCTTCAGGTAACCTGGAGATGACTAATGTAGGAAACAAAAATCACAAAAAGTTTTAACAGCAGCCACAAGGGAGTGCTTCAAGTTGGGCTGAAATACAGCAACTTGCACTTCAAAGGCAGAAAAAATCATCTACAAATTCAGATGCAACTTTTGAAGACAATATTGTTTATGCAGGTAAAGATACACTAAAAAATTCTAATTTGAGCTTTACACTGCAGAATGTCACACACATCACAAATGTGCATCCCAACATCAGAAAAACCAGGCTAGCCCAAATTTCCTCTCATAACACTCCAGGAACAGCTGCACTGACTGAATGGGGCACTTGCTGATAACTGATGTCATTAGACATGAATCTTGCTTGCAACAAATCTCAATGTTGGCATGAATTCATGCATACTTCGTATTATTCCAACTAAACCAGAACTGTGCTTTACTTTTAAAAAAGCTCACAGCTTTTTTTGCTAGGCAGAAGTGAAACACACATAACAATGCTATGAAGTGATTAACTAATAAACTTGCATAAGAAATACCCTTTAGGGCATAATTTAACAATGAAAATATTACTCAATGATTTTTCACTCTCTCAGAGTCAGCTGACATCCACAGTTACAGCCTACCCCTTCTGCAGCTGTCATGCTCACACTTACTAATTCAGAATTTCCTTGATTGTCATGTCCTTCCTCATCATCATCATCCTCCTCAGCATCACCTTTCTGAACAAATTCATTTTTTGTGCGCAAATACAGCTCCCATAGTTTGCAGGCAGCTTTATATTCAGGAGAATCTGGCTGCAAAAACAAATCAAACATTCCAGTCAAAATTCAGGGCACTCTCATCTGGGAGAAATTTGTAAGTTATCAGTTGAAAGTTATTAAATATGAGTAATAGAAAACTTGGGAAATTCCTGCTTCATTTGTTCTTCAACAGAGGAGTTAAGAATCACAATAAGCATTGGAAAATATAACATGCATCACTCAAAAGCATCCAAGTCTTTGAGAAAACTTCACAATAAAATTAGCTGCGTTGAGGCTTGGACAAGCCAGCTAGATGAATCTGGAGAAATCACTGACTTTTGTTGAAAGTACACCACCAGCATTTAAAACAAACTAAATTTCAGTAGGCCAGAAATTTGATTTAAGTCAATACTGCTGTCATTGCATGGCACTTGAAAATTAACTTCTATAGAAGAATGCCAATAAATATCTTTGAAAGCACTGCAATGGTTTACCCTCAGCATTAACTGGGCAATTCCAAAGAAGCTGACAACACCCTACCACCTGGGTACACCTCTAGATATATCTTTTAGAAGAGGCAGAAGCATTAGATAGAAAATTAACTTTCAGAAATACAGAGCTGGTAGTGGCAGACAAGCACGTGCCTATTACCACTACCCAGAACAAAGACAGCTTTTCCACCCATGTATTTTTCCTTCCCTTTCCTCTGTCATTTAGGATCTATTTCAGGTACTCCTGCTGATAATGTCACTTTATTACTGCTGATTGCACTCTTCTTACTTCACTCTCTCAACCACTTGACAGCTTGTGGTACAAATGAGAAACCAACATGAGAACTGTTCTTAATCTTGCCTTATTAGGCTTCAATATTCTCAGCACATTAGACCAGATGTTGCTTATGAAGAGAAGATTTTTTAAGGGTATCCTGCTCCACAAATCTGCTTCTTTCTGTATGAATGCAAGATGCTCAGGAGTGAGACACTTGACCAGAAATACATAAAAGCCCAAAGCCTGCTGTTCTGCTGGAGCACTGCCAATAAAATAGCTGCTGGAATAAAGACCTTGAGAATCAATTGCTATCCCTGGTTTGTCCATGCCATGGAGCTGCCTGGGGAAGGTAAAAGGTAAAAAGATGATGTTAAGTTTTTGTGCCACACCTCCAGTTTACAGCTCCATAATTCTCTGGAAATGCCAACATTCCTTCGTCCTGGAATAATGGATACCCATTTTTAGTCTAATGTAAGATCTCTATGACACAGTTAAATTTTGAGCCCACACTTCCTATAGGCAAAGGCAGCACATGCTCTGTAAAACCCCAATCATTCTTTCCTGCCACTGGCCCATTAATGTTGGGGTTTTCACACTGAGTGCCTTGCAAAGGTCCAGGAGTACAAAATGGATTTGGAAATCTTTGTACATTTCCTCCTGGAAGGAGAATGTGCAAATGCATTAATCCATAAATCTGATTTTTTTCAAGAAGCTACTACACACACACACAAGTAAAACAAACACTGCCTTTCTGGATGTCACCTGACTACCCCAGCTGGGTTATTCAGAAGGAACTCATTTGGATCATCTCCAAATGAGTTCCTCCAAATCTCCAAAGATATGTGAAAGGCAATATTAGCAGGTTTACATTTGCTGTATCAGCTCATCCACCACAAACAATTTCATTGGTTTAGAGTTTTAACATAGCCTTTCATTAATTTCATCCAATTTTCCCCATTTCCTTATGAAAACTGCAATAAAACCCATTAATATCCATAATAAAATATTCAGTTTGGGGAAATTGCCATGGGGGTTGTCTTGATGACATTGCATTCACATCTATCATCATTGACCATGACAGTCAATGTGCATTTTTTCCATTTTATTAAGTGGCAAATGGAAGAGAAAGATACAACACTCCTATCATAAGCTTGCTCTAAGCATAAACTTTTCCTTCTGAGAGGGAAAGAAAAAGAAATCTTTCTCCATTTCAAAGGGTTACACAGAGGGTGTTGTAAAATGAGAAGGCTTTAAAAGAGGAATACTTTTCTCAGTTTATATTTCCATTTTTGCTTTTGATATCTTTTGGAAAACTACATGAAGATCATCCCCACATAATTTTATGATTTTCCACAGAAAAATGGCTATAGTAGGACAACTTAGAAAGATACAGTCAACATTATGGAAATATATGCAAATAACTGCAATATGTGCTGTTCTCTTACCAATAAGACTTCAGGCTAAACTGAAGAGGTTTTGGCCAAACCGAGGCAAAATTTGAACATCTTTATTCCTTTTACAATGGATTTGAGCCTTTACATGTAGTTTGCTTACCTTATAGTAAGCCTTTGCATTGTTAAAGAGAAGCTGGAAATCAGCAGTCAGCACATTCACATCATCATATTCCTCCATCTTCAGCTTTTGTTGTATTTTCATTAAATCAATTGGCTGAGAAACCACTTCATAATAATCTGGCTGATTTCTGTTGCAATGACAAAAACAGGCATCATATCCCAAGCAGTAAAACCCAAAGCACAGCACTAAAGCTCTGCATGTTTATGACTAAATAAACCAAAGAAAGTTCCAATACATTTCTGTTACAGCTAAAAGATCTGGACAGTGCTCTATCAGTCAGCTCACTTCATGCATGTTCTGCTACTACTCAATTTTCTAAGCTTAAGAGAGAATTCAGCCTCTTACTTAGCTACTACATTTTCAAGGGTCACTTCTATTAACCTTCCCAAGCTGTGTCCTTAGTATTACATCCCATCACTTAGCCAGAACCTCTTATAATCAAAGGCATGAATGTTTTAGCAGGTGCCACAAGAAACATTTTAAATTAATTCAGTGTATCCCTTTTCTTTTTCCCTGAAAAAGAGCACCAATGTAAGCATGTCCCATTGAATAATTACATCAAACACCTAGATCAAACACTGATATGAAACAATGACAAATGTAGCTCAGATTTTTCATAAAGTATTGCTGAAGTAATTATCAATTCCCACTTCTCCCTGATTAAATCTCAGGTTCAAGGTTTAACCAGACCTGTGGCCTCACCTTCTCTTGGGTGCCCTGATGAAGAGCTCACAAAGGAGCCTGCCCTGCTCATCTTTGTAGTCTCTGATGGTGTTGTAGAGTTCATGGCAGACAGCAATCTGAAAGGCAAGAACAATTAAATAAGGAAAAGGGAGAGAATTTTAAGGATATAACAAACAAAAGCCTGCTTACAAAGGGAAGGACAAGCTGCCAATCCATAGTATGCCCTAAAGCAGAAGTGAGAAGCAACTGAAGCGCCACCTCACACTTTAGCAGGATACCTTACAAGTGTGCCAGGTACTGTATGATCTCCATTTATTTTTTGAACATAGGAAGCTTTATTTCAATGCTAATTCTAAGCAAAACACCCAAAATGTAAATTAATTCAGTGCAATTCTCTCCAAGTTACAGGCATCTACAATAACAAGGGTTCTTCTGCCCTACAGTTAATTAACATTAGACTGCTCATGCAATGGCATAGCAGAGGCATTGTACACTTCAGCAATCACTGCCTGTGCCATTCCCCACTCATCCCTCTGCATTTGCTATGCAGACACAGCTCTCAACTTCTGCACATTATGATTTCAGCTCATTCTCCAACTTCCTTCCATCTGCTAAAATCATCAGCAAAAACAAAATAGCAAAGACAAAACAGCAAAGAAAAACATGAAAGTGGTAAGCCAGGACCAAGCCAAAGCCGAAGCTGAATGAGGTCCTAAACAAAACTCAGCCAAGGCTGGAATAGATTCAGGACCAGTGTGCATGTGCTACATATGGTCATTGATTTTACAGTCCAGCATGTTCCAGACAGACTGTTTCTTGGTGATACAATATCCCCCCCCCAAAAAAAGGTGCAGTCAGTAAGAAAGTACTAACAGGATCTACAGTTGGGAGATTGGAAAGTCGCCTCCTCTTCCTGCTTGGGCCTGGTACATTGGTGGAGTGATGGGCATCATCGAAGTCGCCGCCACTGACGCTGCTGGAAGGAGAGGTGGCTCTTCGCCTCTTGGAACCCATGGAATCCAACTTCTTCTATAATGAACAGAAACATCCTTAAAGCCCTGCCATTGCATCCCAACCCTCTGCTGAGAGCTACCCACACAATTCCCAAGAGTAAAGGAAATCAAAATGCTCCTACAGTTTTATAGTCACCAATGATAGCAAGGCCAGAAACCCCCAAGCTCACACTCACTGAATTAGAAATTCTTCACATAATATGTTCTTAAACTCTCTACATTTTCATACCCCATCCCATGCGCAAAAACTAAGCAAGAGCCACTGTTTTCAACAAAAAAGCTGTACAGAGACACATGCTCAGTTCTGGTGTAAAAACACTTAATTCCACGGCAAAGTACAAAACCACAAAAAACAGACCAAAAAAGAAAAAAAAACAACCAACCAAAACAAATTACAAATGAAAAGGGCCACACAATACCTTGTGTTATGTTCAAGAGAAAAAAAGGACTGGATCACCATGGGACTGCCCACTCCCACTTTATGTGTGGGATGAATGGCTCAACCACGGAGAAACAGAAAAAGCTCCCTCCTCTTCTGGCCATAGTTTTGCATTTACCAACACAAGCAGTGACAAATGAATAACCACCATCCAACAACTATGGTAATTTATGGAACAAGTTATTGGCTCTTTCCCAACTTCCAGTGACAGCATCAGAAAAGTATCTTTATTTGTGGCTATCTCAAAGGCTGAGCACAGAACAGATGCATCTATCCCAGCCCATCCCCATTTTCCAACCAAATCCAGGGATTTCTTTCAGGAGGCACTCAGATGGTTGACAAGGTATGGCAGCACGAGGTAACTGCATTAAAGCATTTCTCTTAGAGACAACTTCAGGCACACACATGAGATGAGTAAGGTAGGAATAATTAACAGCTAGGAAAAAGAAAAGCAAAAGGCCAAGGCAGAGGGATGGAGATACAATCAATAATTTACCAGATTTACCAGAGTAGAACCAGCACCTCGAAAAGCCAATCTCCTCATAGTGTCTGATGGGCAAGCACAGATACTGCGAGAAGGGGACACTCTAAGAGTGGCAAACCAGTAATGGTGTTAGTACAGCCACAACTGGAAGACAAGAAAAAGCAAAGAGAGAGAGAAGAAAATTCAGACTAGGTAGATAAAGAATAAAATCAAAGAATAAAGTGGATAATTACAGTGACAGAGAAAAAAAGCAAGAAACAGAAGGCAACTTTTTATAGCCCAGCAGAAACTCTACAAAGTAATTCTGTACACAGAATGCTAGACACTTCTGTCATTGTCACAGTAAAAATACATTTCTCTCATGTTCCTGAATATGCATTACAGATTTCACCGCCACTTGCTAGAGAATGATTCATCAAGAGCAGAAAGTAAACAGAAGTGATACCTGACCTGAGAGTACAAACCAGAAAGCTGTAAAACTTACAGAATGCAAAGCAGTACAGTGCTTATAAGAACATAATCTTAAGGTCAACAAGCATTTATTAAACTCTAAGATGATGCACCTCCAAAATTCTTCAGAGTAGACTTTTATACTCAGAAGTAAGCAGTAAGTATGCAGCCATACGCTAAAAAAAAAAAAAAGTTTCAATTTCTAAGCCTCCAAGCCTTATTTTTTTCACAGAAATTCCATGTGAAATACACAGAACCATTTAATAGCAAAATGTTTGCTTCTGCGTAGTTCTTCCAACTCCTGCCTTCAATCAAACCCCAGAGAGGTTCTTTTACAGTTCAGCACTCTGAACATTCTCGTAACATGAACATGCAGAGAAGCTCTGTGGTTTATCAGCAGGCAATTCATTTTGGGAACTGACAACAGCCTCAAGCCTTGGCACAGCCTCCAACTTCCATCTGAGGGCTACAGTCTGGAGTGGCTCCACCAGGCAGGTGCTGGGAAACACAAGCCCTTGGTTGTGGAAGAAAGGCAGGAGGGACTACCAGAATCAATAATTCTGCTTCAACCAGGAACCCAAGAGTACACTCAGACCAGTCCCATCCTGAAATAAAGATCTGGGAAGCTCCCAACCAGAACTGCCTGCAGACTGTACATCAGCTGCTCCATGTGTACTGTCCGGGGCACAATGCTGTGGATCTCAGCCATACTCTGACACTGCTGTGATCAAGGTACCCTCACCACTCACACAGCCTCCAAAACACGTTTTTCTCCTCTAATAACCCTGTAAAACATGCATCAGTCTGGACAACATCACAAACACTCAGGGAGAGACCTGCTGATGTACCACTCACTGAAGGTGAGGCTCCAAAACACAAACTTCTTCCTAAACTGCCACACTCCTAAGCACAGAGAACTCAGCTGTGCACAGAAACACAGCTTTGCTGAAGAACCTCTCTCCCTGAGTTTCTTCTGCAATTGCACTGCTGGCTCACAGGTCTCTCAACAGTCACACCAAGAATCTCCACTGCTACCACTGACCACCTCCAATTCAACAGCAGCTTGAGCATCTCCTCGGTAATTGCCCCCACCAGCCATAAAAATGTCACAAAACCACAGCAAGAAAAGCTTTGGCCATTACTAATTCACATGTATACTGATATACACAACGGGGGGAAGGAAGGCTGTCCCTCCCAAAAGCTGTAGGGAAGGACCACAACAAGTGTCACCCACTCCAACCTCCCTACACCAACAGGTTTTACACTCGTCGGACATAACACACTTAAAATAAAACGTTCTAACACACTAGAGGTTCATTTTCTGCCTCCAGGCAGAGGAAAGCGAAAAGCCAACAGATACCACGGGTAGTACTTATTGCTATCAGGATCTCCCACGTTTCACCAGAAACACGAAACACGGTAAATTTAGCAAAGGGAACAGGGGAGGGAAACGCAAAGGGAACAGGGGAGGGAAAAGCCGGAATTTCCCCCGGTTACCGATCCCATTGAAAGCTGCTACGGGATGGGAAGAGGGGGCTGGCAGCAGCCAGGCACGGTAACAGGGCAAAGCTGACGGGAAAGCGAGAGGGACAACACATCCATCGTTTTACCGGCACCGGGACAAGGAACAAAGGCAGCAAATCCGGAACTGCCCGAGGCGCCGGAGCCCTGCCCGGGAGGTGAGGCGCTATCCCCGGCAGGAAACAAAGAAAAGCCTTTCCCGGCACCGGGCGGCCAGGACGGGGTCCCGGGCCCGCCCCGCGGGGCACGACCCGCCGCGCTCAGCGCGCGGGCCCGGGCGGCGCCGGCACGGGAACACGGCGGGAGCGGGGCGGGGAGGAGGGGCTGAGGCGCACCCGGGCCCGGGCAGGTGACGGGGGCCGGCGGCGCTCGGTGCCCCGGGCCCGGCGCGCCGGGGCCGCTGCGCGCTCGGGCGGCGCCGCCACACAAAGGGAGGCAGCGGCCTCCAAGCTCCGGCCCGCGCCCCGCCCGCGCCGCTCACCCCGCCGGCTCCGCTCCGCCTCCCGCAGCCGCGGCCGACCCGGGGTGGGTGCGCGGGGTCCGCCCGGCCCGGCCCGTCCCGCCGGTACCGCCCGTCCGACACCGCCGGTGCCGCCGCCGCCGCTGCCGCAAAGCGCGCCCGGCCGCCCAACGCGCCGAGCCCGCGCGACACCCCGGCGGGGCAGCGCCGGCGCGCTTTACGGCAGCGCCCGCCGGCGGGAGCACGTGGCGGCGCCATGAAGCGGCCGAGTGAGCGCCGGGAGCGGCTCCGGGACGGGCACGGGCTCGGGCACGGGCACGGGCACCGAGCGGGCGGGAACGGCACGGGGAGGGCGCGGGAGGCGGCCCGGCACCGGGGGGCGGCGGCCCGGCACCGGGGGGCGGTGGCCGCGGTGGAGGAGGCGGGAGTCGGGGCCGGGGGATGTGCGCGGCGCTGACGGGCGCGGTGCGTTGCAGAGCTGCGGAAGGCGAGCAAGAGGCTGAGCTGCCACAAGCGCTACAAGATCCAGAAGAAGGTGAGGCCCGGCCCAGCGCGGCCCCCGCGCCGCGTTCGGCGATTTTGGGGCCGCTGCGCTGAAGTTTTGGGCCTCAGAGTGAGAACGTTTCTTGTGCCTGCCCTCATTTCTTGTGCTTCCCTCAGATAAGAGAACACCACCGGAAAGTCCGCAAGGAGGCCAAGAAACGCGGCCACAAGAAGCCCAAGAAAGACCCCGGAATTCCCAGTGCTGCGCCGTTTAAGGAAGAGCTGCTGCGGGAAGCGGAGCAAAGAAAGCAGAGGGTAAAACACAGTTTTCGGTAAAGAGAACAAGAACTGAGAGCATCCCCTTCTGTAAGGAAGCTTTGTGTGCACTCAGAGGAGCAGTCATGGTAGATGGTCCCAGCAAACTCGTGCTTTGGAAAAATGATGTATTTATTTCCAGCACCGTACCGTGTGCATTGATTTGCTCTTCTATTTTTAACCTTCGTTTCCTCACTGGGATGGGAGCATGCTGGAAGTGTCTTTTCTAATGCAGTCAGAATCCCCTGTGGTGCTGGGATACAGAAATGTCCCATCAGAGTGCTGGGAGTTAAATCATGGCATTATGTGATTACACAGAAAATCGGGATCTGCTGTCTGCAGTGTGCACTAATGTGGCATTTGTCAGCTGTAGTGGTGGCTGCAGCGCTGCTGTTCTGGGATCAAGCAAATGCATGGCTGCCTCTGGGTAGGATGCAAAAAAAGAGTTCCCAGAGTTACTTGGACAGCCAGGACTTCTAACTGAGCTGGCTCAGGAGCTTGGGTCAGGAATGGGGAGAAAGAACATTCTTCCTTAGCACCTTCAAAGATGTTTTATCTGCCCTGGGTTTTTGTTTGTGATCAGCTTGAAGAACTGAAACAAAAGCAGAAGCTCAATAGACAGAAAGAACATGAAAAGAAGAGGAAGCTGGAAGCTAAAAAGAATGCAGTCACAATCAAGGAGAAAGCAGAGGGAAAGGTAGGGGTCCTGTATGATTTTGATTCCTTGAACCTGGAGAAGTCATCCTGAAACTGCACCTTCTTAAGCAGCAGTTTACATTTTCATGCTGAATATGCACACAAGTAGTAGACACTAATTCTCATTTAAATAATTTCCTTTTGTTTTTATTTGCTTTAGGACTCCCCTGGCAAATCTAAAGGAAAGACTAAAAAACCACTGAATAAAAATTCTAAGAAATCATTCTGCAGGGAGCTTATGAAGGTGAAATGCTTTAACTATTTTTTTTATCATTAGATATAGATATATAGATATTTTATATCACTAAAGAGTCAGCAATAAGATCACTTGTTATTTTGCTTTTTTTGTATTACTGTTTAGAGCACAAAGTTTGTCTGTGATAAACTAGAACACTGATGGGATTTTACAACAGAAAATGTTAACTATTTTTGTAAGCCACAGCTATAGCAGAATTGTAATCTGGTCTGTGATGTCTTGTTGGATTCCTGTCTTTTTTCTGACCCAGGTGCTTGAGGCCTCAGATGTAGTTCTGGAGGTTTTGGATGCCAGAGATCCAATGGGCTGCAGGTGTCCTCAGCTGGAGCAAGCTGTCACTTCCTCTGGAGGGAACAAAAAGCTGCTCTTGGTTCTGAACAAAATTGGTAAGAAACACAGGTTTTCTCAAAGTGTTACTGGCACTGTGTTTCTGTGGTGGGTGAGCTATGAAGATTTTTAAAGGAATCTGAGATTCCATTGAAGACATGAGATCCAACTCTGAGCTCACTACAAAGGCTGGAAATTACCCAGTACCAGTAGCTAATTAAAGAAAACAAAATACCAAGAGCAACAAGAAGAGCAAAGGGAACTCTGTGGTAGAAGTCAGAATCTTTCACAGATCATTCTGTACCATGCAAAGTCTTCTAGCCAGAGCCCAGCATTAAAAGCCTAATACAGAGGCCAGAAATGTAATTGTGATATGTTCTGCTAAGGCAGAAAGAGAGACTCTGTGTGCCTTTGGGGAAGGTATCCAGTACTTCATATTAGAGTTCTCAGCCAAATGGTATTTGTCATGATAGGATTAATTTAAGGAGTGAAAGAACTGCTCTTCTTTCCAGATTTGGTGCCAAAGAACAACATAGAGAAATGGTTGAATTATTTGAAGAAGGAGTTTCCAACAGTTGCTTTTAAGTCAGCAACAATTATGAAGGACAAGACTATGGTAAGAGCACTGCAGGCTGTCCCACGAAAAGTTCATGTGTTTGCAGTCATACATGTTGGAACATCTTTAAAATTCCTTTCTCCCTGGTTTGGTTGCACTTTTTGGTTGATGGATGTGCCTTTACACTTCAATTGAGCTTTGCAATACAGTGGGAGAATTCTTAGCACGGAAATTACAGTAGATTAATAAATCTAAGTATCCATATTTTATCTTCCTTAATAGCTCCTGACCATGGGCTTTTTTTTGCCTTTGAATCTGGTAGCAGGAACAGGTCACAAAAAGACATGCACGTGTTGATTTCGCAGAAACCACTCAGTATTTTGGAAGCAAATGCCTTTTGAAGCTTCTTCAAGGGTATGGCAAGACCCAAGACAAAGCCATTCAGGTTGGGGTTGTAGGTAAGTGTTTGGAGAAACAGGAGGAGTTTCTTTCTCCTATAAAGCTTTGGGATCCTGTATTCCTGGACTGGGTAAAACTGCTGACACCTGGTTTGCTAATGAGCTTTCTAGTCACTGTTCTTTGCTCCAAGACTCTCAGTGTTGTAGTGCTTCAGCTGCCAGGGATCCATGGTGCACTGCCATGTGCAGCACAGGGATCTGTGGGAGAACAAAGAAGGCAGGATATGTGCTCCACTGGCCCTGCCTTCCCCATGCCTGACAAAAATCCCATGGAGTATAGCACCACAAATCCTACAAGTGTGAGAAATGAGGATACATTCTTTGTCTTACTTCTGTAGTGAAGACTTCAGATCCAACTCTGATCTCACACTGATGCTTACGTTAGCAAAGCTACCTGGAAGAAGCTGTTTTGATTGGTGTTAAAAAGCTGTTTTCTTATTAACTTAAAAGGATTTATGTGATTTTTCCTCAGGTTTCCCTAATGTGGGAAAGAGCAGCATAATCAACAGTCTCAAAGGAAAGCGTGCTTGTAATGTTGGCCTGACAAGAGGTGTTACCAAGTAAGCTCAGTCTGATAAAAGCTGTTCCTTTCCTTGTTTGTTGTGTTTCAGTTACCATGAGTTTGTGTTTTAGTCCATTAGGGACAAAGCACACCCAGTGTGCAGTTTTAAATGCACATTAAAATTTGCAAGATGAAAGGTATTGGTATGTGTGATGCAAGCTTTCTCCAGGGGATAGTGTATAAACTTGATGTTTTGCAAAGCATTCTATATTGTGGAATATGTATGCTTTTGCTTGAAGGTTGTTTTGTTTGTTTAAATTTTGTTTGTTTTGTTTGTTTAAATTTCTATCCTACACAAAGCACATGATGACAAAACATTGAAACTGACTTTATGAAGTACATTCAATCCAACACTGAGCTTTGTGTCTTGCATCCCTCACCATTACCAGTCCTTCACTGATTATCTGCTCACAGTGCATTTTTCTCTGAACAGGTCCATGCAAATTGTGCACCTTGATAAGCAGACAAAGATGCTGGACAGTCCAAGTATAATTGCAGATCCTTCTAACAGTGCCCTCACTCTGGCCTTGAGAAGTATCATAGACCCTGAAGGATCAGACTCAGCAGATGTGCTTGAAGGAGTAAATGCCATCATAAATCACTGCAGTAAGCAGCAGGTGAGATCCATCTTTCTTCTACGTCTCTCACTGCATCAGACTTCTCTTTAGGTTTCCTAGGCCAAATAATGAAAGTTCATTTTGCTGTAGCTAATTCTGATAGGTTTTGAACTGCTTTCCCTAACCATACAAAGTGGCAATGCCAAGTGTGAGCCTTCATCCTTACAAACAGAAGACAGAACAGCATGCCACGATCCTGACAGCCAGAGTAAACAGCATTGCTTTTAAGACCTATCAGCACACAGAGAGTGAAAAATGATGATACTGCCTCTGTATTGCCTAGGTTACAGTGAAGACCTCAGATCCAACTCTGATTTCACTCTAGTTTCAAGCAAATTAACCTAAGCCTAATTGCCTTTCAGTTATTTGAGAAGGGTTTTCATAGACCAGTGTGCTGTCCCATTGCAGCACATGTCACATTTGAGACAGCTACAACATGTAGAGTACCAGCATACAATAACAAAAAGCTTCACCCCATGCAGAGTAACACCTCTTCAGAAGGCTGCAAGCATCTCCCCTTCTTGTTCTTCAGCCCAGCCTTTTATCCCCTCATGTTCCTGCAGTGCCCCTGTGTGCCCTCTGTTCCCTTTGGTGGTTGCTCAGAGCACCTGGGCACTCCCTGGCTCATTGCTGCCAGTGCTGCTCACCTGCTGCTCACAGCTGTGACACTGGGGATGAGGCTGGGCCCAGCCCCACTCCCAGTCCCCAAAATGTGCACCTACACTGTCTCTGTACACCCACAAGTCTGGTTGAGTGGCAGATGAGTTTGTTGATGAAGCAGGCTTTTTGCTTTCTAATGTTTACTCCCACATGAGTGAGAAAAACAGCTTTTCTCTTACTCTGTCCTCACTGTTACCCAACTTCATTTGCTCTTTTACTCCTTAAACTGTGAGAAAGATGGGCATCTCTTTCTAAGTGTGCCATTTTCTTTTACCCTAGGTAATGATGCACTATAATATCCCAGATTTCAGGGACCCCAAAGAGTTTTTATCTTTACTGGCTCAGAAGAGAGGCATGCTGAAAAAGGGAGGTGTTCCTGACATAGAAAATATGGCTAAATTAGTGCTTTGTGACTGGACAGGGTATGTATGCTGTGAACTTTGCTCTGTGCTGCTCACTTTTTTCTCACTCTTAATCCAGCACAGCAGAAGCACTTAAAAACTGAGAGGCTGCTTTTTACTCTTCCTTTTTCACATTTCACTTGGGTAAAGAGCTGGATTATCCAACAGATTTAGAGAATGCCATACACAGAGAATTTTCTGAAGTAGTGAAGGATACATGAGAAGAGTCAAAACCTGTTGTACATTGCTCCGTAGATTTTGTAATGGAAATCTGCTTTCCTCTCGAATAGCAAGTCCATGTTCTCCTCTAGACAGGAAAGGATATGGCAAACTTTCTGTGAAAATTTAGGGTGGTTTCTATATTCTGAGGATAGGAATAATGTAACTCAGATTCAGTAATTGACTGTGACTATCTCCCTTGCTGAAGTGACTCAGCTGCTTTTACAGGCAGATGATTTGTGTTGACAAAGTGCTATTGCATTTTCTGCTCAGGAGTGGGCTATCCCCTTAATATTGTTGACAACTTCAGAGTCAAATTTTAATACCTATTGAACTGCTGTTAAAACCTTACTAGTTTGAGAGCTTTGTGCTCTGGGCTTTATTTTTAAATACAGTGATTTAACTGTGTTATCTTTAGTTGTTTTTTAATGCTGGTTTTTATTTTTTTCAGAGCCAGAATAAAGTACTACTCACAACCTCCAGGATTTCAGAAACTACCACCCTATCTTACAGAACAAAAAATAGCTGAAATGCAGGAAGGCTTTAATTTAAATAACCTAGAACAAGAAAACAGCATCACTGTTCAAGGTAGGACTGTTCTATAATAGACTACCATTAACCATCGAGTCACAGATTGGCCTGGGTTGGCAGGGGCCTCAAAGACCAACTTGTTCCAGACCCCCTGCTCTGGGCAGAGCCACCTTTCACTCAGACCAGATTAGTCAGAGCCCCCTCCAGCTTGGCCTCGAGCACTTCCAGGGATAGGGCAGCCACAGCTTCTCTGGGAAACCTGTGCCCGGCCCTCACCATCCTCACAGTAAATACTTTTTTCCTGCTATCTAATCTAAATCCACTTAGGTAAATTTAACTATACTCAAATCCAGGATTTCCAGCTCCTAGCAGTTTTCTGTAGATGCCTCAGGGGAAGCTTTTCTCAGAGAATTTCCTTGCCTTGGTGGCAGAACCTGTGTGGGAGCCCTGTGTGTGGCAGGGAGGGGGCAGAACTGCAGTGTCCCTACTTGGGAGCTGGGCATTCCATCTGTGCTAAATGACAGGAACTGAACAGACACTTCTTGTGTTTTCTGCAGCTTTAAAGCACCCCAGTCCAGCAAACAGCATTGTTTTTCAGTCAGCTGGAATGACAAATGGGACAATAGAGGAAAATAAAGTGATAGAGGAAGGACCAGAGTGGGGAAACATGGAAACAGGCAAGGAGGAGGAAGAGGAAGAAGAGGAGGAAGAGGATGAAGAGGAATTCACAGAAAGTGATGATGATGAAGATGATGTGGAAGAAGATGATGATGATGATGATGATGATGATATCAGAGAGGTAAATGAGGGTTTCACTATGGTTGGGCTTTTTTCCTGAATTAAGGAAACAATACTGTTCCAAGTCAGCCTCAGCGGTGAGGCTCAGCTATACAAGGGGCCATCCACACTTTCCCCAGGCTCTGTTAGGTTTCATTTTCATGGGAGATTTCATTAGTGATGTTAAAATAATATCTGACCTCTGACTTGTAGGAAAGCCAAGTTCAGGTCACCAGAAAAGCAAAGCCTGGAAAACACCAAATGAATCCTGCAAATTCCAGAGAGCAGAGGGCAGGTGTGTATTCAGAGCCCTGCCTTAAGGATGGGCTCTGGGAGCTCCAGGAGTTGCACTGGTTTCACTAACACATGATCTTCTCTTCTCAGGAAACGAACGTTCCAGACCACTG